CTCCAGCACCCCCAGAACCAGAAACCGGTACAGGAACAGGCGCCGCACCAACCTCTCGAGAGCTAGCACCAGCGGCACGCTGCGAGGAGGACTGTGGGGAGGGAGGCTGTACCGGAGGGGCAACCGAAGGAGGAGGGGTAGCCTGGGACACACCTGACGGGGCTGGACCAGGGGGGGGAGGCTGTACCGGGGAAGCAGGAGGGGGAACGACAGTCAGGAAGAGGGGGGGAGGAGGAACCGGGAGACCTCGACTGGGGTACCTGACGTAGTACGGAGTGGACTCCTCGAAACGGACGTCACGGGAGTCAAAGAACCGGTGAGAGGGAGGGTGGTAAAAGGTGAAGTCAGAGGAGTCCTCAGGGAAACCAAGGAAGACACAGGGGACGGCACGAGGCGAGAGCTTGTCCGCGGAGGTGTCGCGGACAAGAGCCAAGCACCCCCAGACACGAAACCGCGACGCAACACCAGGGGACCCTGTCCAAAGACTGGTCGGTGAAACCTCTGGTCGAGAGACACGTGGCCAGAGGTTCAGCTGGTGCGCGGCGTACCTGACCGCGTAGGGCCACAGAAAATGGGGGGCACAGGCGTGAGTCAGGGAGGTGCGGGCGATCTCCATGACCAGGCCTATGCGGCGCTCAGCAACCCCATTCTGCTGTGGGGACTCTGGAAGCGTCCAGGACTGACGAATGCCCTGCTCGCGACAGAATCCAGCGAGAATGCCGGAGCGAAACTCACCCCCACGGTCGGAGTGGAGACAGCTGACACGACGACCACGAGTGTCCTCAGTGGTGAGCAACCACCTGATCAGCGTAGAAGTCACCTCAGACTTCTTCGCCAGAGGGAACACTGTGGTGTAGCGGGAGAAGTCGTCAACGACCACCAGAAAGTAACGCTCACGCTCAGGGCCTAGACGAGGGGCTGGGCCCCAGACGTCCAAGTGAAGCGTCTCAAAAGGCTCGGTGGCCGGACGAAGGGAGGAGGAGTGAGGGGTGGCGCGCAGCCTACCCTCGATGCAGGGACGACACGGCGGCGCAGGCGAAGGCGGCAGCGACGGCAAGACACGTGGGAGGCCTAGGACAAGACGCTGACTAGACATAGCGCGCAGACGTGGAAGGGACGGGTGCTCCATCCGGTGGTGCCACAGAACGGTGGGGTGGGCAAGCGACCGGCAGGAGCACGACGCAACGACTGGAACAGACGTAGGAACCTGACACGACACAGACACTTGGGGGGACGTAGCAACCTGGTGAGACGCGGGGACCCGAACGGGGGGGGGAACCGGGGGCAGTGGCAGTAGGGGGGGCTGCTGGTGCGGCCGCTGGTGCTGCTGCTGCTGCTGCTGCTGCGGCTGCGGCTGCTGCTGCGGCTGCTGCTGCGGCGCACGCGGGCCAGTGTGAAGAGTGTAGAGACCCGAGCCCGGCTCAGCAGTAAAGGTAGCAAGAGGCTGGTAAGAGTCTCCGTCAACACACACCGCAGTCTCTCCAGAAGGCTCAAACCACACACCCACGTGCTGACTCACGAGGGGTCGCACGCCCACCAAGTTCCGGGAGAACGAGGGGACGTGAAACCCAGTGAGAGACCCGGAGGGAGCAGCAGGACACGGTAAAGTGGTAGTGTGACGTGCAGTGACTGGTCCCGTAGTGGGATCAGCCAACGCTACAGAAACAGGCGCAGGAAGTGGTGTAAGTGTCGTGCTGTCCCGAAAGAAGCAGTGGGAGGCTCCAGAGTCCAGTGTGAACGACAGCGAAGCGTCCTCTGAGGTAGTCGCTGGTCTAGAGTCTACACAAGTACCTACACTAGCAACAGGCAACTGAGCAAGACTAGCACCTAAGCTAACAACACCAGAGTAAACAGAGTCAGAAACACTAGAGTCAACAACAGCATACATAGCATGAGGAGCACTAATCAGATCAACTAACTGCTCAGCAGACATGCCCCACAGAGCGGAGCCGTAGCGCTGAACCAGAGGAAGCCAGTCAGGAGCAGGACCGCCAACCCCGTAGGTCAACCGGACCGTGTCAGTGAGCTGAGCAAAGCACTGACCAGGGGGGTGAAAGCGGCCACAAGGGTGGCCCCGACGAGGACCTGTCTGAACCTGGTAGGGGCAGGGAGGGTGAGCAGCACCGCGCTGGGGCTGACGCAGCCCCGACCCCGGAGCCAGCTGCTGACGCTGCTGCTGCTGAGGCTGCTGGGAGGAAAGGGGTTGCTGCTGCTGCTGAAGGTGCTGCTGACGCTGAGCCTGGTACCACGCCGCTGCTCCACCTAGCGGGGCCGGCAGTACAGGAGGCGACTGACGAGCTCGAGGGTCGCCGCCACCAGCAGGTGCAGTGGAGTCACCAGCCGCTGCACGAGGGGTCTCTCCAGACGCTGCACTCCCACCACCGCCAGTCGCAACAGCACCCCCACTACCTCCGCTACCTCCGCCTCCACCTCCACCGGAACCACCTTTCTTGCCCCCCCTGCCGCGGGACCGCGACGCAGTCGTAACAGCAGCCGCAGTCGCGTCAGTAGCGGCAGTGGCAAGAGAGGCAGTGAAGGTGGGTAACTGCGGGACTGTGCACCCGTGGAAGAGTGGGGGGGACACAGTACCAGAGGCGGCAGCTACCGAACGAAGGTTGCTCTCGACGTCCTTGAGTGCAGACTCAAGGACCTCGATAGTCAGCTCACTAGGGTGCTTCAGCAGAAGCGCGTCACGAACGGAGGCAAGGCGGTCAGGGAGGCTAGTGGCGATGAAATAGACAGTAATCGCCATGGGGGGAGGAAGCAGTGCAAGCTGTGCCTCAGTGCAAGCAGCGCGGTAACTAGCGTCGAGCGAGCGGAGGTGAGCGATCAAGTCAGCAGAGCGCTCAAACGAGGCAAGATCAGGAAACAGGAACGGGAGGAAAAGACGGCCGAGGGAGACAGTAGCGGGAGTAGAGTAGCGGGCCTTAATCGCAGTGAGGTACGCAGCAGCGGTGCGAACCTGAGTAAAGTGGACCTCCTCGGACGCAGGGAGGAGGCTGCTGAGTGCGATGCAGGCCGCAGCGTCACACGACGTCCAAGCCGTCCGGTCAGCGCGCTGACGGGCAAAGCGAGCCGTAGCAGCGTCGTCAGGAGCAGGGCCTAAAGCTGTAGGCTCGGGGGGCTCGGGGAGGTCACCAGTAGCGTGTGACCAGAGGGTCTCGCCCCCCTGGACCTGACTCTCTAACAGACGACGAGCGCGAAGAAGCCAGACGGAAAAGTCAAGGGGTCTACCGTCGGCGTCGAAACGAAGAACTCGCGGAGTCGCCATAGTGAGAACCAACGCGAACGAACAGGCGAGTAACAACCGGGGGAGAGGACTCAGTCGCAGCGGAAGAGCGGGCTAGGGCGACGGGCCAAGACGTAGGGTAGGGCAACGGGCCAGGGCCTAGGGTAGGGCGACGGGCCAGAGCCTAGGGAGGGCGACGGGCCAGGGCCTAGGGAGGGCGACGGGCCAGGGCCTAGGGAGGGCGACGGGCCAGGGCCTAGGGAGGGCGACGGGCCAGGGCCTAGGGAGGGCGACGGGCCAGGGCCTAGGGAGGGCGACGCGACGGGGGAAAGGGCGGGAGTGACGCGACGGGGCAGGGCGACGCGACGGGACAGGGCGACGCGACGGGGCAGGGCGGCGCGACGGAGCAGGGCGACGGGACAGGGCAGGGCGACGCGACGGGGTAGGGCGACGCGACGGGACAGGGCGACGGGACAGGGCAGGGCGACGCGACGGGACAGGGCGACGGGACGGGGGGGGTAACAGGCGGGCGCGACGCGACGGGGGGAACGGGCGCGACGCGACGGGGGGGAACGGGCGCGACGCGACGGGGGGAACGGGCGCGACGCGACGGGGGGAACGGGCGCGACGCGACGGGGGGAACGGGCGCGACGCGACGGGGGGGAACGGGCGTGACGCGACGGGGGAGATGGCGCTAGGCTCGGTACTAGGCGCGGTAACAACGAAACTGGTACGAACGAGAGGTAGGATCAGGCTTGGGAGGTACGAACGGAGAACGGAGGAACGGGATCCCACAGGATCCTAACCTAGCTGATACCATGTCTGAATGAGGAATGAATGTTCCATTGATGTTGGTTGGGGTACATATAACAAACCCTAACTTCTGTACCCCCTAAGACAAACCTCACTACAGGCTACAACATTTGACACTCTCGACATTCCGCATGCTCTATATGAGCTATTGCGGTACTGGTACAGTGGAACAGCTTCGGGAATGCTTTATATAACATTTCAGTTATTCCAACAGTTGGATTGGAAAATGAGTATTTGGGGGTAGCATGAGGAAAGATGGCTACGAGCAGATCAACTAGATCCTATAAAGGATACCACGAAATTTCAGGAGACAAATGACAATCTGAAGACAAATTTAGGGGATTTTTAAACCCTAGTCTATACCACTGTTGAAATGCTGTCATTTTTGTTAGACGTTCATGCACTTTTGAGTAATCCACAAGTGACTGTAACAATGTTAGATGCTCTATTAGATGCTCTATTACCGTGACAGTGCACGTACACCTATCACACCAACGGGGAAATCTTTTATCCGTACAGGGTCCTCCTGCCTTTCCCTCAGTGTAGGTGCACTTCAGCGGATCCCACCACATCCACCTCATAGCCTTCGTCATTCTGATTCCTTGCATCCTGCCAACATTCGCGCTCCACCTTTCACTGATCCTCCGCCTTTTTTCACCATCGTTCGGGGGGTTTCTGATCAGGCCATCACAGCGTTTTTGCATCGCCTAGCGTTTGGTTCCACGCTCATTGTCGTGTTGCCCAGCAACATCAACCCTACTAATTCAGCAACAACGGCTCTCTGCACAGAAAGTAAAGTTTTGAAACCGAAACGGGTCCTGAGACGGTCAAATTTAGGGTCACTGAGGACTTCATGTCAGGAGGAGATTTGATACTTGTCAAATAGGCGAGCTGGCTAAGCTTAGGTAGAAGGCCGTCTCTCGTCAGGCCAGCTGGCGGCTCGCCGGCTGATGCGGCGATGACTGGGCAGCTGCCGTCGCCAGCCAATCGCACGCGCTTCAAGACACCAGAAGGGCGTTACCTGCTGTCGCACGAGAAGGTTCACCCGGCCGGGCTTATCCAGTACACCCATCAGCGCAATCCCACCAAGGTATTACGCGCTCGCCACGTGTCCCTTCCAGATCCCTCCATTTCAACGATCAGGGACACAGTAATCTATCACGTGCCCCGACTATAGATTGCAATGGCATTCCGCTCCCTCCCCTGTTACAGTCACGAAGCTGCATCGGCCGTGTCTCACGCGCCTCCCGCAACGATCCCTCAAAATCTGGATCCCACGATCTGCATCTGGCATTCCGTGCTGCTTCTCGCATTCCCTTTCCTCGCCCTTTCCCCATGCCCCTTTCAACCGCGCCCCTCCCCTCCCCCTTCCCGTCTACCCTTTCCCCCTTCCCCATCCTTCCCCTTCCCCCTCGTCCACCCCCTGGCCCTCCTCCCGGCTCCTTCCCCGCGCAGATCACATTAGCGCATCTCGAGGACCGGCCTCCGCCTCTTCCGCCTCCGTCGCCGTCACCTGTTGCCACGTCAGCAGGTTCCAGATTCGCCAAGAACTTCTTAGGGGCGGGGAGCGGCACGCGTGGACTGCCTTTCGGCGGCGGAAATGGCCGTCAGTCAGGTGAGTTTGGCCGTCGGTCAGGTGGGACTGGCCGTCACTGAGATGGGAGTGGCCGTCAGTCAGGTGGGAGTGGCCGTCAGTCAGGTGGGAGTGGCCGTCAGTCAGGTGGGAGTGGCCGTCAGTTAGGTGGGATTGGCTGTCAGTCAGGTGGGAGTGGCCGTCAGTCAGATTGTTCACTTGCTCACCTTCTTGGCAGTCCCCCTCGTAAAGCATCTCCCTCACTTTCCTCTTTCCCCTTCCTCCTCTCACTCCCTGCCTCCGTGCATCCTGCATTCCCTCCTCATTTTCCCCTTCCTCCTTCCCCCCCACCCCCCCACCCCGCGCCCCACACTTCCCCGCTTTACCCGCCTTCCCACCATTCTCCCCCCATTCCCGTGCAGCAGCGGCGCCAGCAGCCAGTGGCGCGTCCGCGGGCACGGGGAGTGCAGGGGGGAGCAATGGGGCGGTGGGGGGAGCAGGCGGAGCGGGAGGGGCGGGGGAGAAGGAGAAGGCGGGGGGCGAGGGCGAGGGGTCGTACGTGATCTTTAACGTTGGCGAATCACTCTTTGTCGCGGACGCCAACAGCACGGACAAGGTGGGAAAAGGGGAAAGGTGAGAGGTGCAAGGGTTGAGCTGGGGCGCAAAAGGCGTGGGCGGGGCGTGAATGGGGGTGGGGCGCAAAAGGTGGGGGTGGGGCGCAAAAGGTGGGGCTGGGGAGAGCAAAGTGGAGGTGGTGGGAGCAAGATGGGGGGGAAAGGAGCAAGGTGGGAGTGGGGGGAGAAAGGTTTTCCATCTCGTTGACTTCTCCCTCCACTCACTCTCCCCTCAAACATTCATAGTCCCCTGTCTCCATTCTTCTTCCGCTCTCTCCCCTTCCCCTCCCTCCCTCCTGCCAGGAGCCCCTGAAGGCGCTGCAGTTCATGGGGGCGAGCGGGCTGTGCCACGCGTTTGACGGTGCTGTGGCGAGCAGGGAGGCACAGGGCACGGCGGGCAGAGACGCACACGACCTGCTCATCGCCACCACTGCCGGCGACAGTGAGTGCCCTCCTCTTTTCCACTCTCCTTCTCTCTGGGGGGCAGGGAAGCATAATGCACGGCGGGCAGGGAGGCACAGGGCACGGCGGGCAGGGAGGCACAGGGCACGGCGGGCAGGGACACACACGACCTGCTCATTGCCACCACTGCCGGCGACAGTGAGTGCCGCCTGCTGCTCCCTCTCTCCTCCTCTCCCATGCTCGCACCCCAGCAACTAACCCCATGCCCCTGCAGCTAGCTTCGTCCCCGAGTTGCTTACCCCATGCCCCAGCTACTTACCCCATGCCTGCCGGATCCCCCCCCTCCTTGCCTCTTCTCTCCCCTCTCGTCCCCCTCCCTCCTCCCCCAGTCTACACAGCATCGCTGAGAGCCCAGCTAGCAGACGGCAGCAAGAAGCTGGTGGGGGCGGCACACTACAGCCCGCGGGACGGCACCGGCAGCAGCAGCGGCAGCGGGGGGAGCAGCAGCGGGGGGGGCAAGGAGGGCAGCGGCGGCAGCAGCAGTCGGTGCACGGCAGTGGCGTGGGTGCCGGGGGGAGATGGGCTGTTTGTGACGGCGCATGCGGATGGGAACGTGTATGTCTTTGACAAGGTGGGCCGCGCCTCTCTATGTGACGAGAAGTTTCTTTGCATGGTGTGCTATGCCTTGCAGCATTGCGGTCCTGTGGCAAGAAGCGAGTCATACAAATAAAATGCTAGACGCTGTATGAACGATTCCCTCTCCTTCCCCCCTCGCCCGTTCGTCACCCCCCCCACCCAACTCCCCATCCCCCCAAACCGCACCTCATCCCTGCCTTCCGCGCAGCACCGTGATGGCACCACGGAGGCAGGCTTTCCGCCCATCAAGGACGTGCATGCCTTCTCCACCGCTCATGCGCGCTCCAACAAGGTGCATGCGCAACTCCATCCATCTTCCCTTGGCCCTTTGTGTCGCTTCTGAGTGGACTCGGATGTCTCTGTGGCTGCATGCTTGCCTCCTTGCACCATCACCATCGCGCTGCGATGAGACCAATCACTCACTCCCCCTCCCCCCTCTACGTAAGCATCCCCTAAAGCAACCCAAGTGTCCTCGCCCCTCTCATCTCAGTACATCTGCCCACAACTGCATGCCCTCTCTGCACCATCACCATCACCACCACCCATGAGCACCATCACCATCACCCATTGCTCTCACCCCCCCCAATGCCCCTCACCCACAGAGCAACCCGTTGGCGCGGTGGCACATCTCGCCATCATCAATCAACGCCCTCGCCTTCTCGCCCTCGGGCTCACACCTGGCCACTGTCTCCCGTGATGGTCAGTGCTGAGGGGGGCGGAGGTAGTAGAGGGGAGGGGGTTGTGCTTGGCCATCTTTTGCACGCTTGCTGCTGCCTGCTTGCTGCAGGTTATGTGTGTGGTCGACCAAGTTTGACTTTTAAGACGCCTCACAGCATTCTCCGGTTGGTGCATGCTGCTTGCTGCGTGCATGCGTCCCTCTTTCCATGCAACTTCCCTCTGCATGCAGGCTACCTGCGAGTGTATGACTGGGAGCGAGAGGCCCTGGAGGGCGGGTGCAAGAGCTACTACGGGGCGTTCCTGTGCTGCGCGTTCAGCAGCGACGGGCGGCTGGTGGCGGCAGGCGGGGAGGACGATTTGGTGGCCGTGTGGGACCGCCACTCCCACTCCGTGCTGGCGTGGTGCGAGGGGCACTGCTCGTGGGTGAGTGGGTCTTGCTGTTTAGGCCGCCTCAGCGAGCTGGTTTGGTGATGCTCTGCAAGGGTGAGGCTGGCTGGTTGGCTCCAATCTCACCCTTGCCTGGTTCTATCCCTCTGCGAGCTCTCTGCCCTCCCATCTTGCTCCTCTCTCCCTCTCCCCGTTCCCCCTCCCTCTCCCTCTCCTCTCTCTCTCCCTGCAGGTCACAGCAGTGGCGTTCCACCCCTTCCTCTCCACCACGCCCCCCCACCGACCGCCATCTCTCTGTCTCAACATAGCACTCTCTCCCTTCTTCCGCTCCGCTCTCTCCCTGCAGGTCACAGCAGTTGCGTTCGACCCCTTCCTCCCCGCCATCCCCCCCCCGCCCTCCACCATCGCCTCCCCCCCCTCCACCACAGCTGCCGCCGCCGCCACTCCACCCTCCTCCTCCCCCATCCCCACCAGCAGCGCCAGCACGGGCAGTGGTGCGGGTGGGAGTGTGGTAGTGGCGGCGGGTGGGGCCGAGGGGAGCTACAGACTGGGGTCCGTGGGGCAGGTGAGGGGAGATAGAGAGAGTGAGGGGAGTGAGGAAATTGTCATGAGTGCTGGCTGCTGTGCTGTCGTGCACCAAACTACCCCGCGTCATGTGCACAGCCGCACACACTGGCACACAGCAGCACACAGCAGCACACAGCAGCACGCAGCAGCACACAGCAGCACACAGCAGCACACAGCAGCAGCACACGAGTTTCTAATCCTGTCGCGGTGCACTCATGATTGCTGTGTTGGCACGCTGTACCCTTTGCTCTGCACTCCTTCACCCCGCCCTCCTGCACTCACTCTGCCACCACCAACCCTATGAGGGCACGCAGCTGCTGCTGTGGGACGTGCCTCTGGGCACATGCTACTCCCCTTGCGCCTCTCGCTGTGCCACTGTGACCTCTGTCTGCGCACCCCCTCACAAGTAGACGACCCTCACAAGTAGACGACCCTCACAAGTAGACGACCCTCACAAGTAGACGACCCTCACAAGTAGACGACCCTCACAAGTAGACGACCCTCACAAGTAGACGACCCTCACAAGTAGACGACCCTCACAAGTAGACGACCCTCACAAGTAGACGACCCTCACAAGTAGACGACCCTCACAAGTAGACGACCCTCACAAGTAGACGTCTCAAAAGTCGTCCACTGTGACCTCTGTCTGCGCACCCCCTCACCCCTCCTCTTGCACTCACGCACCCACCCCACGCCCCTCCCCGCCCGCTGTCTCACCCGATCAGGACACGCAGCTGTTGCTGTGGGACATAGCTTTAGATGATGTGGTGCTCCCCTTGCGCCTCCATGCATCCCATCCGCACCACCAGTCAGCAGCTGCCACGTCAGCATCCCACCCTCATGACGTGGCATCGACCAGAACCCCGCCAACCGCCCACTCGCATTCTCGCTCGCACTTCTCCCACTTCCACTCTCACGCACCCGGCCATGCCTCTCCCAACCGAACACATGGCGCCACATCAGCGTCACCATCCACGTCAGCGGCAGGAGCTACCACGTCAGCGTCATCATTAGGTCTGGGCAGATCCAGCGGTGCCCGGAGCTCCAGTGGGGCAGGGAGTGGCGCCGGTGGGGCCGGCAGCAGCAGCAGCAGTGGGGGCGGGGTTGGCAGCGGTGGTGGCAGCAGCAGTGGGGCTTTAAGAGATGCATCGGCATCGAATGCATCACATGCAAGCAATGCAGCAGCGGTGCTGGTGCCTCCTCCTTCCCGCAAGGACGTGCCGCGAATATCGCCAGTGATGGCGCATAAGGTATGCACTCCGCCAGTGATGCCATTTTCTTGCCACACCAGATCAAGGGGATCGCATCCTTTCTCCCATCCATCCCATCACACATGCATCCACCCCCCCAATCATCCCTTCTCCGTCCTCCCTGCCCCCTGCCAACCTGCCTCCCCACCAGAGCCAGCCTTCTCACGAGATGCCGTGCTCACAGCGTGTCACGACACGAGGGTGCTCTGGTGCGGCCCCCCAATCATCCCCCCCTCGCCCTCCTGCCCCGCCCCATTCCACCCCCCCCAGGTACACGTGGAGCCGCTGTCAGCGCCGGCCTTCTCACAGCAAGCCATGTTGACAGCATGTCACGTGGGCTGGGCTGTGTCAAACTGCTGTGTCCCTGCCCCCCATCACCCATGCCACCCACCTCCAGGTGCACGTGGAGCCGCTGTCAGCACTCGCCTTCTCACAAGACGCCGTGCTGACCGCCTGTCACGAGGGCTGCGTTAAGCTCTGGCTGCGACCAGGCGCCACCCCCCCTCCCGGCAGCATTGCCGCCACCTCCACTCCTGCCCCTTCTGGTGCCGGTGCTGCGCCTGTTCCTGCTGCTGGTGTTGCTGCTGCTGCCACTGCAGCCGTGCCTGCAGCGTCCGCGTCGCCTCTCCGGGGGGACCCCCAGTCAGCCTCTCCCGCCCTCCATCTGTCCAACCGGGGGCCTGCCAGCCACCGCACGGGCACGGCAGAAGCTGCTGCTGCTGCTGGTGCTGGTGCTGGTGCTGGTGTTGGTGCGGGCAGCATGAGTGCTGCTGCTGCGTCAGCTGCAGTGGCAACGGTAGCAGCGGCGGCGGGTGCCAGAAGTGCTGTTTCCGGGCAACGAGTATTCAGATGAGCGCGTGCGTGCATGAGCACGTGCTGTGATTCGATGCGATGCGCCTTATGGGGACATGGCGAAAGGCGTGGCATGTCACACAAGAGCATGGCTCGAGGTCCCTCTAGGAGGGAATCTGCAAGGGCATGGTTTTGGCCCACAGGGACTCCCCTGAGTGGGCGGTGCATTGAAATAGTTTCATTAAGAGCACAAGCGTCTGTGGTTGTGGTGTTATGCTGATGTCGTATGTGGCCAGTATTGCATACAACTGTTGCCATGCTCTCACAGGTGGCAAGGGCATGGGATGATGTTGATTAATGATATTCACTTGCACACAGGGACGCGGTTATACGGTATGACCAACAAGCATGTGAGGTGGGAAGACGGTCTAATGCAAGCATGTGTGCAGACGAGCACCAGGTCACTCGAGAAATTAGTGCATGCAGTGCAATACAATGTGTCTGATGGGAAACAGTGTGAGTGTGAGTCGCACTGCATCTGCATGCCTTAGTGCATGCCATGCTGTCATGGGGCCGGCATGTATGCCATGGTGTCATGGGGCCCGCATGCATGCCATGGTGTCATGGGGCCCGCATGCATGCCATGGTGTCATGGGGCCGGCATGCATGGTGCTCAACCATCCGTGCAACCACATGGCAGCAGCGCGGCTACAGTTGTCGGGTGGCACTGCACCGTAGGGCATGTGTGTGACCGCATCACACCATCCCTCACCGCACGGGGCAGCGGCTGAGGCATGCATTGGGAGTGGTGTGGGCCTGCTGGTGCTGCAACCCAGGCACTGCATGTGGGTGTGGGTCTGCTTCAATAAGTTTCAAAGCTGGACTACCGGTACCGTATCACCACCCCAAGTGGAATAATTGTTGCATGGCAGGCAGTGGGCGCGCACGGCACCATGGTATAAGTCATGGGTTGAAACACAGTGAGCGACAGTGAAGAGTGGTGAGAAGCATGGAAGACGGAAGACCTGTGAGATGTCCCACTACTGGGGCACAGCACATGGCGTATTATTAAACAAAGACCTTGGCAGCTTTACCTTGCTGCCGTATGTATCAGCAATGGCATACCCAGTGTTAAGCGTGGTTCCTACCTACCTAGCGCCTATGATATGACCTAGTACCTAGCACCTAGCACATAGCACGTATCATGTAGGGAGCACCTGGAGACAGGGCATGCTCCATCTGGTCACCTGCACGCTGCCTGCTAGCTGCAGGCACACGCTTTCCCATGCTGCCTGCCCGCAGATTGTACCCTGCCAGCTGGCTCATTTGGATTGGATCGTGCCAGCTGGCTCTCTTAAAACTCAGCACTGCCAGCTGGCCCATTTGGATTTATTAGATCATGCCAGCTGGCTCTCTTGGACTCAACACTGCCAGCTGGCTCACCCTGACGTGCACCCAAGCCAGCTCTGAATCAAGTGCGCTGCTACTGCAGCTGTGAGCCTATTGTTGACCCGCCACGGCAGAGAGCCAGGCGCCAGCAGGGCGCAGACGCACATCGCTGCCGTGTGTGTGTGGCGCCTTGAGCAGCGCGCCACCTCCTATAGCTGTTGCGGCCCCCACAGCCCCTGTAGGCGCTGCACCCTTGGCCGTGGGAGCAGCAGCAGGGCGGTCGGGGGTGGTTTGCGCGAACATCTCCGGAGACATGGGCACGATGGCCATGGCCTTGTGCGGCTTCTTGCCGCCCTTGTGGCTCTTGGGGTGCAGCTTGGCGCGGCGCTGGCGGAACATGTGCGTGTAGAGGTGCAGCCAGAAGAGGGGATAGGCCGCCAGGATGACCTGTAGGTGGGGGGAGGGCCAAGGGGGGATGGGGGAGAATGTGACTTGTTGTTGTTGGCTCCACCGATGGGGGTGGATGCCATGTGCATGGGATGCAGGAGGAGGGGGAAGGGGAGGCGGCAGGGGCACTCACCATGAGGACGTGGCACTCACCATGAGTACGTGGCACTCACCATGAGTACGTGGCACTCACCATGAGGACGTGGTGGCAGTCGAAGGGCAGCGCGGCAAAGAGGAAATCGAGGGGCCGATCCGCCTTGACAAAGGGAATTGCGCTGTAGATGAGCACCACTGCGCGCATGGGGGGAGGGGAAGGGGAAGGGGGAGGGAGATGGGAGGGGGGAGGGAGATGGGAGGGGGGAGGGAGATGGGAACCACTGTGCGCGTGGCGGAGGGTGGGCGGGTGTATGGGGATGTGGAGGTTAGAGGGGGGTATATGGGAGTGGGGGTATGGGTGGGGGGACCAGCGCAGGCGCGAGTGGAAGCATGTGCGCGGGAGAAAGGGAAGAGGATAGGGGGAACTCATCGCCCACTCCCTTCTTGTCTTCGTTACAGTAAGGCGCGGTACAATCACGGAAGTGTTACTTTCGTTAATTTAATGTCGTCCGCGCCACTCACTCTCCGCGTCACCCAATCTTCCGCACGACTCACTTTCTCCATCTCACACTCCATGCGCTACTCACTCTCCCCGCTACACCCCCCCCCCCCCCACACGACTCACTTTCTCCGCCGAACATGCCGATGGGGTAGAGCGGGATGAACGCTGAGTAGCGCAGCCACGTCAGCGCGCGCGGACACGTGCCCAGCAGCGAGAGCGCGTACTGCGGATAACGGATGACCTGTCATTCCCAGGGAGGGGGGCCGTGGGGGAGCAGCGAGGGAAGGGGCGGGGACAGATGGGAGCGGGTGAGGGGTAGAGCATATGGGGAAGCAGGCGCAGCGGAGAACGAAAAGAGCCTCGCTTCTTTTAACTCCCATCAGCTGCTATCAAGCGTTTAGTCCGGCAATTCTTCATCTACATGTTTCAAGATTTTGCTAAGAAGTGCAGGAAGCTGGTGCTTGTGTCTGACGCCCGGACACGCGACACAAGCGGGGTGCGCGCCTGGGGATTGCGAATGCACGAGACGGATGCACGAGCGCGCGTGCGGAGCAGCGGGACGCGCCTCGGAGCGAAAGGCTCACCTCGGAGCGAAAGGCTCACCTCGGAGCAGCACCAGACGGCGAGGAGCACGAAGAGCGCGGCGTGCGTGTGGAGGGCGGGCGTGCGCCCCACGACCGCGAACAGCACGAAGCTCCGCCCCACCCACTGCACCAGCGGCGCCACCACTCCGCTCCGCACCAGCCCTGCGCGGCGAGGGGACGAGGGGAATGGGACGACGAGGGGAAGTGAGGAAACGGAGTGGGCGCGAAGGGGAAGGCGTAGGGGCGGTAAGTGCGGGGAGAGAGAGAGAGAGAGCGCGGGAATTGTTGGAGAGAAAGAAAGAGGTAATTGCGTGGAAATGAAGAAAAGGGGGAACTGCGGGAAGAGAAGAGCGGAAAGTGGCAGTCAGAGGAAGGCGATTCGTACCCGTGGCGGCATGCACGGCCTCGAGAATGGACGCGAACTGACACACGTCTGCAGGGACAGGTCGAAGGGAAGAACCAAATCTTGAGAACCTTGCATCAGCAGCAACTCGCTGCTTGCTACTCTAAGCATGCTGAAGACGGAGGAGGGCAATTCTTTTCATCACTATCTTGTCGTGACAACGGGAGGGCGGCATCACGGTGAAAAGGGAGGAGGGCAGTGAAGACACAGAGGGAGGGCGGGGTGAGCGGCGGGCGCGGGACGTACAGACGAGGGGCCACGCGGAGTGAAAGGCGCCAGCGATGGAGGCGGTGGTGACGGCGCTGTGCATCATGGCGGCCAGCGCCGCGGCCCTGATGTGGCGGCGGGCGGAAGAAGTGCGCGGGATGGCGCAGAATAATGAAGTGGGCAAATGAAGGCGCAAAACGGGTGACCGCGGGGGAAATGGTGCTAGTGCGCGATTCGGGGTGCATGCCGGTTTGGGAATGCATTGGGCGGGGAAGGACGCAGGTGATGGAGTTCCACTGCGACTGGAGAGAAAACACTAAGGAAGCGGGGAGTGGCAGCGCTATTCGCGGCGAGAGACGTACCATCCAGCGGCCTGCGCGAGATTGTAGGCGGCGAGATACGTTTTTGTCAACGACGCCATTTTCTTGAAGAAGGGACAGCAAGTTTTCGTGGAGCCGTGTAATCTAGCTAATGTAAAAGTAAACCAAGGAATGTTAGTGTTTCTTGTCTCGTACGCATATATGACCTTGTAGCTCCGCGCTAGCTAATCGTACGTATCTTGAAGAAACTGGTTTACGCAACCTGGCTTCGTCCGTGTTGCTCCTACGTCTCAAGAAAATTAGCGCGTTTTGCGGTTCTTGCCAAAAATTTGAAGCAAGAAGGAAATCGAGCAGTCGGTATGGAGGTGCACTCGAAGAAGGAACATTCACCCACTTGGCCCAATTCCCGAAATCCAAGTTGAGCAAGTCGGGTCGGTCGGAGGTGCGCTGCGCACCGGTGCCCCTTTCTACATTCTCCCTGGAACCCCCAAATTCACCAGCTTTTGCCCAATTCCCGAAATTCTTGCCGTTGATGCGACGATGCGACTCGGCAAGTTAGTCGCAATCTACGGCACACCAAAACATCGCACATCGTCACCACCAGTTAACACCTTGGCACGCGACGAGAACGAATTCTCACGAAAGTCTTCGCTGAATGTTGACCATGAATGTGAGTGGATTCCAAAAGAAACGGAACGGCAACGGGTCGCATGGTGTTGTGATGGGCGTCGCACGCACCAACAGCTTTGAGCGGAATGCAGGCGCCAAAGCATTTTCCAGCAGCCCGCGCAAAACACACGACCAAAATATGCGACGGGGGAACATTCCGTTTTTGTTGGCTGAGCCGCGGCGAAGACTTTGCCAGCTAGGGTAACTTTTTCGTTGACAAGAGCACATGTTACTACAAAAAGGTGATGATAATTCCTAATATAATTGTTACGAAAGTTGCTGCATGGGGCGAATTCACTAACGAGTTAGTGTTTAACGATTTAGCGCTTCACAGGTACCCCTTCAGGTGCATCAGAATTCTCGATAGGCTCTGTTGGATAAACAAGTTTGTTTCGAGACGCCTTACAAAGCCCAGAGTTTTTCAAGGTTAGCTCCTCGTCTTAGCAGCCGTCATGCGAAATCGTACGGCACTCGACTCGCGGCAGCATGACCCGATCCAAGCAGCGGGAGAGGCAGTCGACAGAGGCAGCGCTGTCCGCGGGTGGCGATGGCGCAACCCCAATCCTCCTCTTCCGCATCGCCATTCCCGAGGTAAGAGAAGATATTGTGGGATCAGTAGGTGCGATTGATAGGCAGCGATTCGCAATTCTTGCACGACGCGACATGCTCAGCTCAGGCATCATGACCCTACCTTTCGATGTGCTCATCTCCGTCCGTCCGTCCGTGCTCGCCCCACCCTGCGCCACTCACTCCACGCATGACCCCTCGTCATTCCGCATCCTTCAACCCCCCTCAACGCGTCGCATCCCCATCATGGCGTCGCAACCCCCTTCCCGCGCCTCACGCTGAGCCTCGCGGCGCCCAGCGCCAGAAGAAGTCGTGGCAGACCGCCTTGTGAGCATCAAGTGGGCGGCAGCGGCTGTCCTTTTCCTGTTCTTCGGCTGCCCGATCTTCCTCCCCGCACCTCCAACCGACTGCCAGTACCTCGCGCCCTTACTCTCCCCCTCCGCCTCTGCCTCCCCCCCCAGCGCCCCTCCGCCATCCTCGCCCCTGCACCACTGCGCCATGGGGTATGCCGCCACCGCAGGCGTCGTGGGGGGCGGAAGGCCAGGGGCAGCGCGGTACGTGGTGACAGTAGCGGATGATGCTATAGAGGGTGCGCCTGAGGGGAGTCTCAGGTGGGCAGTGGCGAACCTTGGCGGAGAACCTGGGGGAGGGCCCGGCGAGCGGCAGGGGCTGTACGTGACGTTCAACCGGTCGATGACGATTCGGCTCAAGTCGCGCCTGTTCCTGGCGTCGCACACCACAATTGACGGGCGGGGCGTGCGTGTGAGGCTGCTGGGCAACGGCTTGGTACTGCAGAACGTGACCAACGTCATCATCCACAACATTGAACGTGAGAAACAAGCTGTGCTGCTGCTCACTTGCCTCCTTGCTGACCACTTCCCTACAGCAATGTTCCCCAATGCAAGCCAGGTATATTTACAGCGACCCACTTCAAGTGCTTGTGCTATTCCACGTTCGCTTCTCACCGTGTGTTTCTTTCCCTCTGTTGTGCTTCTCTGCAGTTGGGAACCAGCCTGGGGATCATGATGTGCTCCCCATTCGCAGCAGCCAGGTGGTGTGGATCGACCACTGCCATGTGTACAACGGCCACCGCGGCACTGTAGACGTCGTCTACAACTCCACGGATGTGACTATATCGAATTGCCACATCCACAACCACCGCCTGACCATGCTCTTGGGGGCGGACGACTCGCATGAGTACGACCGCAACATGCGCGTTACTGTGTATCGCAACTGGTTTGAGAAATCCGGGCAGCGCCAGCCGCATTGCCGCTGGGGACAGTGCCACGTGGCAAACAATTTGTACACTGATTGGGCGTTCTACTGCCTTGGTGGGAGAGTCTTTGCTAAGATTCGGTCAGAGGCGAATGTTTTCCGGGCAGGGCGGGCACGGAAGGAGGTGACGCCGTGGTTTGGAGAAGCAAGTTTGACGACTCCTGGCTTTGACAATACGCCAACGATCCTTTCGTATGGCGATTTGCTTTTGAATGGAGCTACCTTTCACCAGTTTCAAGGGAAGGAGCCCATGTTTGATCCGCCTTATCGGCTTCCTCTTTATGATGCCTCGGATCTCATGGAGACCTTCCTGAGGCAGAGTGCAGGGCCTCAGTACCCATTCAGATTCATTAGATCTTATTTTGATTGGGATGCCTAAGCTGTAGTATAGCATTAGCGGTGTAGCTGCTAGCTGGGCAAAGCACACTGTAGATAATCCAGAGTTCAAGAAGTGTTGCTTCACAAATTCGCTTTTGCGGAGTAAGCCAGATCAGTCGCGTGTCTTCGTGTGTCAACAACGAGCCACGTCCGTCGCAAATCGTCGTCTAGTCGTCGCAGGCAGGTGCCGCGGAAAGGAGAAGCAACCCTCCCCCCCACCTGCCTTGCATACACCAGGCATCTTCTCTTCCGCCAACCTTCCCCGTTCCGCCTTCCTCTCTCCGCCAGTTCTCCATCTGCGCGGACTCGCTACGCAACTCCACCAACCTCAAGAACCATTTTGGATCGTGAGGAGCCCAACTGAACCGCACGAGGCAAACACAAGAACGTGCCGAATGCCCCTTTTGTGGTACACCTGATGCTCACCCCATGCACGCGAATTTGCCTTGCGCCGGATGGAAACGCTGCACCCGAGGTTGTTTCCCCAGCCTCATGCACCTACATTACAAGCGCGTCGCGTGGTTATCAACCAATAGAAACGAACAGACCGAAGTCAAGCAGAATAGACTGAAGTCAAATATGGTAACAGATCTTGTATATAAGCACATGCGAATCCTTTTTAGCTAGCTGCGAATTGACGAAACCTAGCGAAATGCCTCGTGACAGCTTATATGCCCCCTTCACAAGGCAACCGGAAGGGGCTCAAACAGGCATCAGGAGTACCCTAAAAATACTCGGACCCAGACGTTGTTCTTTCTATTCCTAGATTCTACCGTTCTCTTAACGTTTGTGCGTTCCACTCACTCTAACCCTAGGTTCTGTGATTCCGTGACTGCCGCTCGCGCTTCGAAGTGCTCGTTCCAGCATGGCCTCTCGCGGAGGAGCAACGCCGTCTAAGGGTTGCCTGCAGCGGCTACAGCGAGAAATGAAGTTAATTACGAAGGTGCTGACGGCTTATGTCCAATTCTCTAGGTGCCTTGAAAACAGTGCTGACAGCCACCGAGCCGTCCTCTTCGCCATTGCCCAATAGTGCTAGTCGCTTTCTCTTTCATTGAGTTCACCTTAATTTCTTATTCGGTGAGCGGTTGGTCTAAGCCGGACTATCCTTTTCCTCCCGCTCGTTGCGGTGCAACTCGCATCGCCTCTATTTCAGGAGCCGCCGCCGCACATCCGCGCGAAGCCAAACCCCGCCGACATGCTGGACTGGCGTGAGTGGCCGCACCCTGCATATGCGTTCGCACTGGCCGTTTCTTTCAGCTCTTTCCGCGCGCCCCTTTGCTTCCGCCGTCATCCCTGTCCTCCTGCTACTATCTTGCCGTCGTTCTTCCGCCGGCTTCTCACATTGTTCACTTCCACGTCAGCATTCACATATCTGACGTCACCACCTCCAATGCTTCACCACCTTTTCTTCTAAGCGTTTTCTTCTCTCGCCAATCACCACCCTCCACCCACCCCATTCCCCCCACCCTTCCCCCCCGTCTCCCCTCCCCCTTCCCCGTCCTCTCCGCGCGCCAGACTTCGTGCTGGAGGGCAGCCCCGGCACGCCGTACGAGGGCGGGTGGTACCACGGACGGCTCAGATTCCCCGCGGACTACCCCTTTAAACCGCCGAGCATCATGATGCTTACCCCTAACGGACGATTTGCCACCAGCACCCGCATATGCATGAGCATGAGCGATTGTGAGTAGGCGGGCGGCTGTGAGTGAGCACGGGAATATGAGCCGGTGGGCGACTGTGAGCGGGTGGGCGACTGTGAGCGGGTGGGCGACTGTGAGCGGGTGGGCGACTGTGAGCGGGTGGGCGACTGTGAGCGGGTGGGTGACTGTGAGCGGGTGGGCGACTGTGAGCGGGTGGGTGACTGTGAGTGGGCGGGCGACTGTGGTCGAGCGGGTGACTGTGGGTGGACGGGCGACTGAATAATGCTCCTTAGATCAATTAAGCTCAACGTTTTAGGCTTTTGCAAGGCTTCTCGGTCGTTCTGTGACCTGTCGGTTCGCCTTTCATGGTTCATACCCCCCTGGCTGCTCGTGTTGCCTGCTGTGTGTGCCGTGGTGGCGGTGTGGTGTGCAGTCCACCCCGAGACGTGGAACCCCATGTGGTCCGTCGCCAGGTACCGCTCTCTTCCACCCTCACACCCTCGCTCCCCCCCCCACTCGCTCTTCCCACACTGTTACGGCAATTCGCGTTGCGATTGCTCTGTGCTCTCGCTTCAAGCTCCAGGCTATATCTGCCTGCATTTCCCCCCCCGCCATCCCTCGCCTGCGTTCGTTTGTTTTCCCATCACAAAGCCCTGTTGTTTCCATCACAAACCCCTGTTGTTTCCATCACAAACCCCTGTTGTTTCCATCACACCACGACGCCACTCCAAGTCCTCGTGGTCTGACTGACCTCCATGCATGCCATCCTCACCAAATCCATCTCTCCCTCCATCCCTCTGTGCCCTGCCCCATCGTTTGCAGCATTCTGACCGGCCTTCTCTCCTTCATGGTACGTGCTGATGAGGCGCTGTGCTCTTGCAGTACTGTGCGTGTTTTTCCGGCAGTGCCGCACTCGCATGTTCACGCTCGCTGGCAGTGCGTCCTCGCTCTCGCGTTTCAAGCAGGCTGTGCTTAGAAGACTACTAAGAGATGCGTGATTTGCCATGCACACTCACATCACAGATTAGCGTTGCCTGTTGTGCTGTGATGTGATGTGCATTCAATGTCCACTCACTCACTGGCGTCCATCCATGCTTGTCATGTTCCCTGCCCACCTCTACCCTTGTTCCATCTCCTCCCCTCTGCCTTCTCCTGGGCACAATCCCCCTGCCCCCCCTCTGTTCCCCCCCTCCCCCCTGAGGCCAGTCGGACGATGCAGTGACGGCGGGCAGCATAGTGGCGTCAGAAGCAGACAGGCGCAAGCTAGCACGCCTCTCCATGCCCAACAACTGCCGCAGGTACCGCCCTCGCTGCCTTCTCTGCACATCCCTTTAGCCTGCTCTTGTTCCCCTCGCCCTTGTTCCTCTCGCCCTCAGTCCATGTGGATTTCTCTCAGCAATCCGTCATCTGTTGGTCAACACTGCATTTCTCCCTCTTCACTTCCCATTATGTCTGTTGCTCCAATCTCCCCCCCTTTTCTTTCCCCCTTCCCCAGCCCCGTGTTCCGCAAGCTCTTCCCGGACCTGGTGGACAGCTACACGGCGTCACTGGCATCGGCAGCAGAGGCAGCAGAGGGGGCAGATTCCGCCAGCAGAGCACAAGGGGATGGCGCAGAGGGGAGGGGGAAGGGTGCAGGGAAGGGCAGGCGGGTGGTGGAAGCTGCTGCTGCAGTGGTGGGGAGTCGGGAAGGGAAGGGCAGTGAAGGGGGGAGGGAGCTGAGGGTAGGAGGTCAGGGAGGGGCAGAGAGAAAAGAGGGGGGCGTGCGGAGGGTGGTTAGAACAGGAGGGAAGACGGGTGTTGCTGGTGCGTTTGGTGCAGGGAAGACAGCAGAGGCAGGTGCAGCAGGGTCAAGCAGTGCGAGTGGGAAGCAGCAGCCGGGCCTGTCAAGCTTGTCGTTTTGGGTCACTGCTGCCGTTGTGCTGCTGTGTGGGTGTGTCATGGCGGTGCCGTTCCTTGATTCCTTGTCCTCCTCTCTGCTTCGGTTATCTTGACAGCGGACATGTTGCATGTCATTTACGATTTTTTGTTTTCATGTTGTCTGTACTTGCATATCTTCTGACATCAGTTCAAACTGTTTGTACTTTCTGTAATTAATCAAATTTATGAATGTATGTATTTATCGTAGCGGGACAGCTTAATCGCAGGTTTCGTTTCCCCAATCGTGGCGCAACCTCCCAGTGCATCTCCAACCCCGCCTCTCACTCTCGTTGTAGGGCTTTGGAGGCTGCCGTGCCGTGCCCTACGCGTGAACAGCAGCTGAAGCCCTGCTGCTGCATTTTCAACCGACGCCTGCTTCACCTTCCCTTGATTCCTCACGCACACGCTCGCTGCCGCTGCCACCTTGCAGTCCTTGAAACCTCCTCCATCCCCAATCTTCCATATTTCCAGAAGTACATGATTTCCGAGTTACCAGGCATGACAGTTAGACACGTACCGAGGGTAGCACTGCTGCCTTCTTCGGCTCATCATTCGCGTTCGTCGCTTCTCTTTATCCGCAAGTCTCCTTCGCCTCAGCGCTCGCTAGTTGAAGGCACCTGCATCCGCTGCTTTCCTGCAGATTCAAGTCGCGAAAACAAATCGCGCGTGTCCCTTACTGCTGTCTCGTTGATCTGCCGTCCTCCCCGCGCCACGCCATGAAGAGCCCCAGCGCGCAGCTCTCGCACGCACTCACGCGCATCCACGCCGCCATGCACCGCCCGTCGTCCCCCGCGCAAGCGCCACTATCATCCCCGCCGTGCGCGGGGAGCCCTCCTGACGACGCCACGCAACGGTCTGCGAGTCGCCGGGCGTCGCAGGAGCGCACGGCTGAGTTGCTGCAGCAGTCGTTCCGACCTAAGGCGCTGCCATTAGCGCCACCCGCTCACGGCCGCGCGCCCATTCCGGGGATGCCTGATAGCGGTAGCGGGAGCGAACGGCGGAGGGGCGCGACGAGAAGCTGCAGCGGGCCGCGGGAGGGACGGTTTGGGGGAGGGCCGCCGGGGGGGACGGAAATTCCCGCGGCGCCGGGACGCGTGACGCTGAGGAAGCAACTGTCGAGCGACATCGCGCCGCTGCTGCTGCGACTGAAGCGGCAGGCCACGCCCACGCGAATCCGGAGCCAGTCGCCCGTGCTTTCGCCCGTGCAGTCGCCGCGGGACGTGTGGGAGGCTGCAGAGGCGGGGAAGCTGTTTAATTGGATGAGCAAGGATACGGAGTGTAATGCCACGCCAGCGAGAGCTGTTGTTGAAGAATCGGAGATTGTTTCTCTTCCCACAGCAAGGCCTGCTATTACAGTTGTGAGGAGAACGATTCAAGCCCAGTTGCAAGGGCAGCCATGGTCCCCAAACAGCACCTTGGAACCTCCGAATGATGACCTGCCACTGTGGCGGGATGAGCAATCCCAAGCCCTCTGTTGTCACCAGGATTCACCCCAAGATTTTTTTGGGGTACCGATGGAAACAAGTAAATGTTATGCGAGAGACATGCAGCATGTATTGTGTGAGAGGAATCACACGCAGACGCTCCATCAACGATGCTCGTGCAGCCCATGCACATCCCAGAGAGGTGCTTCCTGTGAGGCAGCTCGCCAAATTCTGGTCAAGAATCCGTCAATTCAATCTAAAGGGAGGGGACGGCTTGCAGCAGCCATCACTGCAAGGCAGCAGCAAGTGGTGCAGGACCAGCGGCCAAGATGGAGCTTATAACCGGTAGGGGAACCTTTGTAGAAATAAGAGGCAGGTACTTAGGAAAACATATTGCCATTTACCAAATACATATTGTATTGTTCTGTACATAGAAATGAATATTAGAGTTGACCTGTTACTTGCTATGCTGCAATAATTGCTATATCGTGTAATTCCGCACCTGACAAACGTGTTCTATCGGAATCTTCTAGGCTGAAACTTGTACAGTGATAGTTCGGCTTGGAAGAAGGCACGGGTTTTGTCTGTGGTCTGTTCCGAACAAAAGTCGAGCAGCAGCCTGCTTTTCCTTGGGACTGTCGAGGTTCGGCTGACCTACAGAGGGAGCATCAGGCGAGGCGAGTCGAGGCGAGACCAGGCGAGGCGAGGTGAGGTGATGATGGAAGGACCAATACAGCAAGGGCTGGCAAGGCAAGGCAGGGCAGCGCAATACTAGTCCGTGTCTTGTACTTGGAGCTTGAGTTTTGCTTTTCGAAATCTGCGTTTTATTGTCCCAGTCTCTTCATCTTTCTAGTGTCCCATACCTGCTCATCTACGCATCGCCCAACGCCTTTCACTGTCATTTGCACTTGGTCTTCGCCTGACGTTACGAACGAGCCGATTGCTCCGGTCTTTTGCGCTACGAGCTGCGAGTTCTGGTGGAAGCGCCATGGCGGATGAGGTGTCGCTCGCTGAGCAGGTTCGCTCGGACCTTGCGAGTCTAATGCTTCTAGTTTTTGGCATAGTCGGGTCCCGATGCGTCACCTTAGCCGGACAAACCGGTTGTCACTTTTTCATGGTCTCTCTTCGACTGCCTCGTTAACAGTTACACCGCGCATGTGTTTCCGCGTTCCTGTTCCTTCCTCATGCATGCGTCCTGCATTAACTACTTTCCAAATCAATCGTGACGGTTAGTGGTCCAGCATGCACTCCGTCCCCCACACTTGATCACTTGACATAAGACCCTTGCGGATGTGCTCACACGTGCCGTGCGCCACCATCCATGCTCCATGATTTAGCTCGAGCATACATGGTCCATGATCCATGATTGCCGAATTGCCACCTTCGTTTATCAATGATCCGTGCAGGAGGCTCGGTTGAAGAAGAAGTATGGCGGGGCTCTGCCTAAGAAAAAAGGGCTGCTTTCCAAGGTGTTACGCCGACCTTCTGCCTTCTGTTCCCTCTCCTTATGATGCACGTTTTTTAACTTCGTTTGCTGGTCTGCTTGCGTCGATAAAGCTTATGATTAAACAGTCTGCTCCGGTTCCTTCTTTATTTGAAACGCCTAATCTTGGTGTTCGATGTACTCCTATTCGTCGGGTCAGTTCTCTTTGTTTTAGGAGCTCATGAATACTCACCCGCTTGCCACGCGTCTTCCGCCTCGTGTACTCGCAGGGCCACGAGAGGGCCTTTTTCGACTCCGCCGAGTGGGCCATCCAAAAGGTACGATCGCGTCGTAACGTATTGCGTCGCATTTTATTGCATTCTGCCGCATTGCATCGCGTCTGCTTGCTGGTCATCCCCACCTCAAATGTCTTCGTATCTGTTTCCTCTCCGTGCCTTTGGTGTGCTTCCACTAGCAGCAAAAGGGCGCCAAGCCGGCAGCACCGGCAGAGGAGGGTCTGCAGCCGAAGCTAGAGGTACGGAAGCGTGCTAGGTTCCACGCGTTAGGGTTTTGTCAATGAAAAACGAGGGGAAAAGAGAACCACTCACACACGCACAGAAAACAACGACAACAACAACAGCTTTTTCCAATGTATGGTAAAGTCATCCACATCCATTGATGTAAGGCGTACCCCAGGTGCATGCAAATGTTGTTTGTGCAAGCATATACTTCCCTTGCTGCCTCGCTAGTTCACCATGAGAGTGACATGCATTGTCTGATATGCCTGCTACGTGGATTGACTTGTGTTTCGCGTGCATCCAGCCTACCCCACATCAACCTGCCACGGGTCGTCGCTCCGGACTGGCTGAAGATTGACTCATGACTTGGGGCTTGTTCTTGCACTCTGCACATACACATGGTCAGTGATTTCGTGTGAATGGTGATCGTTTTGGTGTTGTAGCATCTCACATTTGCTTCACGTTCTTGGCACTTCATTGCTGAATTCTCAAGGCTAGAGTGCATAACTGACTCTAGCGCAGTCCTGTCTCTCTTTGTTGTTGCTGCAGGCAGCAGGGAGCTGACCAGCTACTGCGCCTACCCATGAACATGACCTCTTCTGCACTACCCATGACCTGTCCTTTCTATGGCCTGACTTGCCCACCAAAGCATTTTTGGCTCCATACTGCCTCTCAAAGCGCCTCCCGTCTTGTGAACACACGTTGACAGGCCCCGCGCCAAGATGACACGTGTCAAGACATGTTTTCTTTTTGTCACCACTCTTGTACAATGATCCCTGTACCGGCACCACTTCGTGAAAGCATTGGCTTACTTACAGAGCCTGGTATGCATCTTGCAGAGAGCATGTCCATCAACTAGTCCAAGTAGAGATGTGGAAGACTGGAATGTGGCCTTCCGTTGGTTTCCGCATGCGGTACAACCAAGACTTCCAGTAAGAAATTGACAGCTAAATCACCTTGACCGTATAGTTGTTAAGCAAACAAGAGAGCCACATTGCAGCAAACTTAGTGCTGAACAATCAGAGGAGCGGGGAGGCAGCTTGCCAGCTAAGAGCTTGAATTCAACACGATAGACACGGTTGTTTGTCAGAGCGCCTTCACAACTTGCCAAGCTGTCATTTCCTACTTCTGTCTGGGCCTCCAATGAGCTACATGCGCTGTTCACTGCTGTGCAGCTCTCTCAGCCCCATCACCCACTTACTCTCTCTGCTGCCCCAGCGGGTAAACCCAGATCTCACAATCAGCGCCCCCAAATGTGGAGTACATGCCGTCCCGCGGGCGTCGGGCGTCGGGCGCGGGAGCGAAAGCACGAGAGCATCTCGTCGAGCGCAGCAGATACCATGACTTCTTGAGATCTTCTACTCGTGCGCCAGCGCCATGTACGTCCATCAGTGCGTCCGTGCGGCTGCGCGCTATTGGTCGCTACCCTCGTCGCTGTCCTCCGTTGCGTCTTGCCCCGCCTGTTCCGCGCTCGCCGCTTCTTTCGCCCGCGCGCGCTGAATCGCCTTCCGCTTCCGCGCAGGAAGCGCCGCCAGGGCCTCCTCTTCTGCCCTCCGCTGCGCCTCCTTGGCGGCCTGCGCGCGTTCCCACTGGCGCTGGATCTCGTTGGAGTGGCGGCGCGAGAGGATATAGGCGAGCATGACGAGGCAGCTGGCCTGCACGGGACTGATCAGCCGCAGCAGCGCCAGCACGCCCCCCACCGCTGCCAGTAGCACGTACTTCCACTGCTGCGACCGTTTCACCTCCATGCCGGGCCGCCGCGACAGAGCGCGACGAGGAAGTGACGCGGGTGGTGGTGAGCGCAGAGACCTGTGATTCAAAGCACAAGCAGCAATGCTGGGTAACGAGTTTGGGCACGTGGGTCGTCAAACTCGAAATCACGTGGGTTGGAGGGTTTGTTCCCGCCAACCCACGTCAAGCAGAGCTGTTGGTGAACGTGAAACACGCACTCAGCGGGGAGGGGTAGCAGAACAGTGTGCGACTGTGATGCGACAATGACGGGGAGAACGACGTGTGCGACAACTCCAGGGTTGAAGGGGAATAAAAGTGCACATTTTTCTCTTGTGGATGTTTGCATGCACGTCAGGGGGTATCTCATTTGGATACCAGTACCACTTCACAACAGTGGAAGACCCAAGATTTTATTGAGGGTACAAAGCGACGTGGCTCTAGTAAATAGAAAGAATTATGTACAAGAAATAAGAGAAAAAACAAGACAGGTATATGCACATGGAGGAAGGATGAGATGAGAGCTACTACAGTTTCTTGTTTGTGAACTTCTGGCTGGTGTTGGAGGCACACACTCAGCTTGCCACTGGCGTACCCTTGAGGGCAGAATGAAGAGGGATTATCGCTGACATATGCCAAAGCAGCATGACACTGCAACACAACCAAATAAGAGAAGAAAATTAATAGGCTGGTCGGTCAAAGGAAGGCACTGAAGGAGGATGAGAAAAAAGGCGCAAGTAGCAAATAGTGTACATATATAAGGTACACACCTTCAGTTCTGTCAGGAGATGTCAAGGTGGATGAGAGAGACACACACACCGTGCCCTTCCCTGCCTCTGTCTCACACACCACCGCCCGCACCACCTGCCCCCCCACCTCCACTCTCACCGCCACTTCCCTCCCCCCCTTCTCACCCCCCACTTCCCTCCCATCCATACCCCCCCCCTTCTCCCCATACATCAATCCCACCCCACACCCATCTTCCTCCTCTTCCTCCCCTTCCCCCTCGCCCTCCCCCTGCTCCTCCTCTCCAGCCCCCAGGGGGCGGGGGACGATGACGAAGTCGGAGAGGGGGTCGTAGAGGGGGTCCTTGCCCTTGACCTCCAGGAAGAAGTGCAGCAGGCTGAATACGCGCGGCAGGCGCAGCAGCTCGCGGTGCTCCGCTCCCGGCACTCCCACTCGGAAGCGCGCCGGGAAGCCGTCCGCCTGCCGTGTGTGTCAGGGTGGGTGGGGTTGAAGAGGGTGGGTGGCATGGAGGGGTGGCGGATAAGGAGTTGGAGAAGTAGAGAGAGGCAGGGACGAAAGCAGGGAAGGACGGGGAGGGACGAGAGCAGGGAAGGACGGGGAGGGAGAACGGGAGAGAGTGCGGCAGACACACGAGGAGGCGAGGCAGGGAGGGAGGGAGTGGGAGCAGAGGGCAGTGTGGCTTACGAGGGCGGACTCGATGGGAACGGTGCCGTCGCCGTGCACGCAGTCAAAGGTGGCCTGCCACATGGCGGGTGGGAGGCATGGGGCGGCACACCGGGTGAACGAGGGTGAAACTTCAAGGCAGGTGGGCGAAGCAGAGCGGCACAGACAGGCGAGAGCGAGAGAGGGCGAGCAGCAGGGGCGGGAGAGGGGTGGTCGGGGGCTGTGGAGGGGCGGCTCACATCGGAGTGGAGGATGTCGGGCAGGTCGTTGAGCGGGTCCTTGGGCGACCCATACCTGTGCTCACAGGGAGGAAGGGTCGCAGCCATGGGGAGGGCAAGCAAACGGTTACATGCTTGAAGCATGAGTCAGGAGTGAAGGAGTCGATACAAGAACAATGAGTGCAAAAGGGAAGGACTAACAGGGAAGGGCAGGAAGGAGAAAAGGATGGCGAGGGAGAGCGAGGGGCGTACTGGGAGTGGAAGGGCGTGTCGAGGCCGGTGCCATAGACGGTGTAGAAGTCAATGGATGGGGGCAGGCGCGCCCCGGCCCAGATGCGCCTTGTCTCGTCCGCCCACCTCACGATGTCCCGATTGAACGGCAGCGGCACCGTGCGCCCGTTCACCTCTATCTGCATGCACCCAAGCATGGGGAGACGCATGGCACACGCAGCACAGGTGATGCACGGGAGCGGTATAATACACAGGGGGTACATGGCACGTGCCACATGGCATGGCTAGTATGGGTGGGAATGAACAGAAACAAAGCAGACAGAGTTGCTGGGGCGCCAGGAAGATCAGCAAAACCCTGCCTGCACCTGCTACACCCTGCCATGTGCCCTGCAGCGCACCTTATTGCCTTCCAGTGCTCTGTCCATGGCAGCCAGGATATCGGGCAGGCGAGTGAAGCGCTGCTCCACCACGCCCTCGCCCACCACGCTCTCCATCACCCCCTCGCCCCCCGCCCTCCGCGGGGTGCAATCGCCTGCCACGGACTCTGTCCCACTGCACGCCTCGCTGTCGCCGCCACTCCCACTGCTGCTGCTGATGCTGCTGTCTCTCTCGCTCCCACTCTCGCTCTCACTATCCGACTCCGCTTCTGCTCCGCCACACACGTCCCTCTCCCCGTGCGCCTTGGTGTCGGGCTGGCGGCGCACGATGCGCAGCTCGGGCTTCTGGCCGCCCCAGTGGAAGTCGTAATCCGCCATGAGCTCGTACACCGATGGGCACTCCACCATCTGCCAGCCAAGCCACCACGCATGCGCGCACGGACGGATGCGCGCATGAGAGGCGCAAGGAAAGGGGGATGGAGAGGTCAGAGGAGCATCTAGAGGGGCGCGCAGCCGCCCCAGTGGAAGTCATAGTCCGCCATGAGCTCGTGCACCGACGGACACTCCATCATCTGCACGCCAAGCCCACGCATGCGCGCAGCACGCATGCGATGCAGAATCTTAGGTGATCTATTCAAAAGCGTAACAAAGGTACCATGCAAGTGTTGAGCGTTGATAACCTTATCCTTTTGCTCATGAAGGATCTTAAGGAAAAGGATATGGTTATCAACACTCAACGGGTATGTCACTTGCATGCACCTTCACTACGTTCTTGCATAGATCACCTAAGATTCTTCATCAACGCATGTCTCATTCCAGGATTCTGAGAAGTAGGTGCAAGAACCATCTCTCTTACAAATGACAAGCAAATGGTTGAAAAAAAAAAAAAAAAAAAAAAAAAAAAAAAAAAAAAACATCACATTTTATTACGAGCACGAGCAAGCGGGGAGGAGGAGGGGGGGGAGGTGGTGGGGTTGGGGAGAGGAGTGGGGTGGTTGGGGGGGGAAGGGGGGGGAGGGAAACGGGAGGGAGAGGAGCGGGATTGGGAGGGCGTACGAGTTGGTGCATGGTCCACTTGGAGATGAAGAGCGACTTCTGCCAGCCCTTGAGGAACTCCACCCCCGTCAGCAGCGTGTCCATTATGAACCCCGGCGCGCCTGCCACGGCCGCGCGGAGGGGACGGGCGGAACACGCAAGGGGAGTGGGAGTGAGGCGAGGTGGAGGACATGAGCCGGAGGGCGAGAGCGATAGAGAGCGAGGGCATGGGAGGACATGTGCAAGGCAGAGGGCGTGGGAGGGGGAGAGGGAGAGGGAGAGGGAGAGGGAGAGGGAGAGGGAGAGGGAGAGGGAGAGGGAGAGGAAGAGGGAGAGGGAGAGGGAGAGGAAGAGGGAGAGGAAAGGAACGGGTGCGGAGGAGCGGTGGCGACGCACATCTCGCGACAATCCTCACAGACGCACGCCGGTTGACACAAGCAGTTCGCTCAACTCAACCGCCATTTCCGTGCCCCCCCCCCCCCCCCTGCGCGCGCTACCGCCCCCGCTCGTGTCCGCGCGCACCTCGGAAGGGCGCGGCGATGGAGACCCACTTGCGCACGAGGCGCTTGGCGTCGGCGGGGTGAAGCGCGACGAACGACTTGAAGAGCAGCCCGCCCATGCTGTGCGTCACCACGTCCACGCGCCGCCCGCTTGCCGCCACTATCGCCTCCAGCCGCGCGCGCAGCCGGTCCAGCGTCTCCGGCAGCCTGCCACGTGGACGCGCCAGGTGGCAACCGAGAGAGCGGTATACGGTTAGAATAAGAAAATATGTAGCTGACACGTAAAACAGAAAGGAACTCTAAATTCCTTGAAACTGAGAAGAAACGAGAACGAGGTGTGGGAGGCTGACCGGTTGCTTTGCCGAAAATCGTAGCCGAAACCGAAGAGCGTCTCGCCGTCCTTAAAGCCCCACTTGCGCATCTCGACGATGGTGTGGTGGTAGTAGCACACCACGTCCAGCGGTACCGACTGCCACGTGGACCACGGCGAACGAAGACGAAGCGCCGACGAAACGGAAGCAAACGGCGGCGAGATGGAGTGGAGGTGAAGGGATGTTACAGATGTGAAACAGCGTGGGTGCGAGAGGTAGCACGCGGACTTCACAAGCAACACGGAGAAATGCTTACGACGTGGAAGCGACGCGGTGCTTACGACGTGGAAGCGACGCGGTGCTTACAACGTCGGGGTCGAGGATGTCGCAGCTGTAGAGCCCGTGGTTGTCGTCCGGCACCTCGATGTGCGACTTGTCGTCCAGCGACTCCGACTTGCCTGCGAAAAACACGCGCCGCGCGCCGAAAAACAGGAAGAGTATGAGAAGAGCGAGTGAGCGGTGAGAAGAATGGAAGCATGAGTAAAATATTGGTTCCGGAGTGAACGAACTCTAACCTGTGTTAGGGTTATATTTAGACCATAGCTTCGTGCGGAACTCCTGATCCGCGTTATAGAGCCGGACCCATATTCGTTCCTTCTTCTTCCCGTCTTCGCTAACCGCGTTAAGAATAGAGCCTCCAATCCCCGGTATAAGCAGCACCGGATTAAGGTCCCCCGCCGTGTCGTGCGGCTTCGGACGCGGCTTCGGCCACCACGGTCGCCAGCCAACCATTGTTGCACTAGTTCCTTCTAAGACTAGCCTCTAAGGCGACTAATGAGGTGAAACCCTAGAAAATGCAGTTGGACTGGCGAGCCGAGAATGACGGTTCAAGTGGGGGAGGCGAGGGCGGGATGCAGGGAGGGAGTCAGGAGGGAGGACCCGATGGTGGAAGAAGTTCGCGGTACCGCGTTGCACCGTTTCCATGAATGTTGGGTGGTTCGGAATGGAGTAGCGAAATTGGAGGGAGAGTGTTGTGTTGTTTTGTGTGGTGGTGGAGCGACGCTGTGCGATGCGATGCGATGCCTGCCTGAAGCACTTCCCTTCCAAGCCTCGCATGCCTCGGCTCAGCAGGCTCCCCGCCTTGCCTCGGATTCCCGTCAGAGCGTCTGATGGGGTGTTGCTGACGACAGGCTTGTGTGGCTGTGTGAGGCATTGGCAGGATGTGGCGAATTGCAACGAAATATGTTGTCCTGTCACCTATCAAGCTAGAGCCGGAGAAAATTCGCGAATTCAAGCAAAATCAAACGCTGCCTGAATGCGAACCTCTCTAGTCAGCAGTCTCATCGCCAGCCTAACCAGAACCGTCGTCATTTCGGAGATTCGCTGCAGTATGTAACCCTTTTACTGCCACCAATTTGTGCCTCCATATTGGATTCCAGTATCTTATAGATACTAGGAAAATTAGGTCCAACGATCGCATCGCACACATTGCAAGTCTGTCCAATCCGAAGCAATGCTGCGGTCATCAATTCGATAATACACAAGGCATCGACGGGCCGCGATACTTCGCTCATGGCGTCGCTTCAGCCGCGCCACAGCGGCTCCCCCAAGATCGCGACGCGATCATCCTCGTCGGAAGGCGGTAAGCCTCGTTTTCTGTCGGCCGCCATGACCGCCGTCACTGAGCGCAACCGATTCACAGAAATCGTGTTCGCGGCGCTGTTGCTGTCCGCGTCGCTCCGCATCTGGCTCGACCTGCGCGTCCACGCACCGCGTCCCACCGAACTCCCCTGCCGCAACGACGACTCGCTTCAGCCGGCCGACCAATCGACGTCCGCCGCGTCAGCATACATCAACGACAGCATCGTAGCGCTGCCCGGCCGCGCGTGGCGGTTACCAGCGGGGGTGGCGTGGGCGTACGGCGGGCTGGGCGACGGCAAGGTGGACCCGGCGCGGTTCCGCCTGCACGTGAAGGTACTCGTCTTCGACCGCCCCGCGTACGCGCTCCGCTGCCTGCGCGCGCTGGCGGCGGCGCTGTACGACGCGGAGCCCGTCCATCTGGACGTCTTCGTCGACCACCCCTTCGCGCTGCGCGCCGACGCCGCGCCCTGGTCGCCGCGCGCCGCGAGACGCGTGGCGGCCTCCCATTCCCTAATGGCGCAGATCGACGCGTTCGCGTGGCCGCACGGGCCGAAGCGCGTGATGTACCGATCGCAGAGCGCAGGCGTGCAGGGCCAGTGGGTGGAGGCGTGGTGGCCGGAGAGCCTCGCTGACGTGGCGCTGATGGTGGAGGACCACGTGGTAGTCTCCCCGCTGTACTACCGCTACCTGAAGCGCCTCCTGGCGCGGTACTACTTCCGGCGCGCGGACTTCGACCCGCACGTGCTGGGCGTGTCGCTGCAGCGCCAGTCCTTCGTGCCCGGGCTGGGCGCCGACCCGCTCCCCCCGCTGGCGCACGGCGCGCCGTTCCTGTACGCCGTGACGGGCACGTGGGGGCAGGCGCTGCTGCCGGGGCCGTGGCGGCAGTTCCGCCTGTGGCTGGACGAGCGGCGGTACAACGGCAGCCGGCAGCCCCTTGTGGGCGGGCTCAAGACCACCCAGTGGTTCCGCGACAAGGTGGGGGGAGGATGGGGGAGAGTGGCAAAGGGTAAGGGGGCAGGTGGGGAAGGGAGAAGTGAGAGGTGATGGGTAGTTGAGGCCGCGCCGCCGTGTCATTGCCTGCCACGTCTCTTTTCTCCAACCACCATTCTCCCCTCCAATGCCCCTCGTGCACGTGTGCACAGGGCAACAGGAGGTGGTCGCCGTGGGCCATCAAGTGGGCGCACAGCACCGCCATGCTCTCACTCTACCCGCCCCTCCCCGCCAACCTCTCCCTCGCCTTCCCCCTCAAGCGCGCCGCCCCCCCCTCTGACGCCCCCCTCGTGCCGCTGCTCCCAGGGATGGGGGCGGGTGCGGGTGGGGGGAGCGGGGGAAGCGGGGGAGGGGGCGGGGAGGGGGGGGGTGGAGGGGGCGGTGAGGGCGTGGATGGAGGGGCCGCTGCCAGGCATGGCGCGCGTGAGGCGCTTCGACCTGTGTGCTCGCGAGCTGCCGCACCTCCCCGTGGGGCACTCCCTGCCCGACCTGCACTCCCTCCTCTCCGCCGTCGCCCAGGTGCACCGCCCTGCTCTCTGCTCTGCTCTGTCTTGCTCTCTGCTCTCACTCCAGCGCGTCGCGTCTCATCCCATGCCTCGCCAAAGACTCACTCTCTTCCCTGCTGCTCTCTGCCCTTCCTTCCCTCCCCGTCTTCTCCCCTTCCCCCACCCCCTGGCATGCAGGACAAGCGGGTGTCGCTGGTGGTGGTGCCGATGGGCGGCAGGGACGAGGTCAACAACTGGCTCTGCCACCTTGACGGCAGCGGCCTGCGCTCATTCGTCCTCATCGTCCCCCATGCCAGCCTGGCAGCTGAGCTGTCCGCACGTGGCTTCGCTGCCTTCCATCTGCCGCCACTCAGCAGGCGCCAGGTGGCACAGGGGCTGGGACAGCTGACAGCGAGGGGAGGGGTGAAAGCAGTGAGGGAGAAGGAGGGGTTGGAGGAGGAGGAGGGTGAGGAGGTGGATACTGGCGGGCAAGTGGAGGGGGAGGGCGAGGGGGTTGAGGAGGAGGGTGCAGAGGAGGGAGTGGAGGGAGGGGGGGCGCGCAGCAGGTGGACGGCGAGGCACATAGAGGTGGTGGTGGCAGCGCTGTCGCAGGGCTTTGATGTGTCCCTCAGCAACGTGGACGCCGTGTGGCGGGGTGACCCCATGGCCACTGAGGCCCTCGGGCTCATCCCTGCTGACGTGGACATGTGGGGCCACCTTGACACTGCTGATGTGGCATCTAGCTTCTTTGTGATTCGTTCTCGCGCCGCTACAGTCTCGGCGTGGGGCCAGCTGGCTAAGCTGTGTGCGCAGGCGCCCAAGGGGGGAAGCATGGGGGGCTTGGACAAGGTGGAGGTGGGGTGTGGGGAGCCGGGGAGTGGCGTGCAGCAGAAGCAGATGCGGGTGCTGCTGACTCAGGCAATGCATTTCAGGGAGGTGGATTCGATACCCTTTGGACGCGATGGCGCAGTGCGTGTGCCCAAGGGAACGTTGCTACCTGCTCTACTGCCACCTCAATTCGCAACAAAAGGGAAGAAAATCAGAAGTATGGATATGATTGGGCTTTGGGTGATAGATGATTCTGACCTTGTTTGTAAAGCTGTAACTTGCAAAAGGAAGCTGTACAGCCCTGCTTAGTTATTTTCTTTAATCATTTTCCCGCCTAGGCTTCAGTTCAGTGCACAGAGCTCCCAAGACAGGAAGGTTTTATACCTGAAAGTCGCAGTCAGGATAATAAGGGTGACTTTGTTGCTGGTTTTGATATTAACCAGCTAGTTTTATATTGTGGTTCATACTCTTTGACTATGTTGGTGTTCAGAGAATCTAAACGCATCGCGCCTATATTGCTGAATTCTATTTGGGCACTTTACGAACCTCGCGAATGTCTGTCGATTGGTTCACAGTTTGTCGTCAAAGACCGTGAATCGTCGCCAGAGGTTGGTTGGAGGTTGCTGGCAGTTGTGTGGCTGGGAGGGCAAGACAGCCGATGCGCGACAGCAAGCGGATGTGGCGCAGTGCTGGCACTGGGAGTGACGGTGAGGCGGAAAGGGCGTCATCTGAGATTCGCGTTGCTCAGCCGAGACGCGTACCGGGGGGAATGAGCCCCGCCAATAAGTGTCGAGGAAATGGTGCAATGTCGATGTCAAGATGCATGCATTTCGGTTTTTACAGTGCCCCTGCTGTCATAGCTGCTGTGCTTCAACCACACACACGTGACTTACCTGATCCTAGCACGGAAATCCGTCTCGATCCTTCACTTCCGTTCCTTGTGCTGCGTTTCTGCCTTACCTGAATTCTAAAAGTTTTACTCATCTTCTGTTGCAGTTGGTCGCACTTGTCCCCACACGTCAATAGCTGCGCAGCGAACACCGATAGCCTATTAGCCGAACGACGAAGCAGCGAAAATGATCGTGACTATGGCGAGCCAAGCAGTAGCGCCACGGCAGTGGGATCCGCCCGCGGCGTCGCGCGGGGGTAGGCGGGGCAAGTGCTCGTGGGGGCAATTTCACCTTCAGTGGCGGGCGGCGAGTGCGGGGTTGAGGATTCGCGAGGCGCAAAGGCCGTCAGGTGAGGGTCGGCGCGCGGTCGCACGCGCGTGTAGGCTACTGCATGGCGTTGGGTCTCTCCCATGACCATCGCCTGGGATGCCTTCCTTACCCCGCTGCCTGTTGTTAAGCTCACTGCGTCAAGACGACATCCGCGCTGAATTTCCACGTGAAAATTAGCGCCTTGCTATCCCCGCAAATTCCTCGCAATTCGCGTCATGACACCGTGTGCGACAACCTTTCCCACATAATGAATAACATCTCCACCCTGCAGCGCGTGCGACTGAAGCTCGCCTTCCACTGTGTTCCCCGCATCGTTCCCCGCATCGTTCCAGCCATCCATTCCGCAGGCCCGGCCTTCAAGCGCCCGTGGCATCGACCGCCGCCATCGCCGCGCGGAGTGAAGGCGCTGCGAGTCCGCGCCGCGCTGAGCCTCGATGCCGCGCGGTGAGCTGCTTCCGTCGCCTTCAATTCCCTTCAGTAGAACTATCCCTGTCACACACCCACTTGTTTCTTCGCGCCACGACTCCATTTGTCGCCCCCCTGCCGCACGCTAATTCTGTCTCCGCTATTGCGCCACCTCTCTTTATTCTCCGCGCTTTCCCCCCTCCAGAAACACCGCGGCGGTCGACCCCTTCTCGTTGCTCTCTGCCGTTCCGCCGCTCCGCGCGCCGTCTCTGGAGGAGGGCGCAATGGGCATGACGATGAGGGAGAGCCTCGCCGTCGCGGTCGAGGCGGCAGGCGGAACCCGCCGGGCGGAAGAAGGATATCCGGGCGCGGCTTGCGCTGCTGACGACGCGCCACTGACGCCCAGCCGCCTGGTGCGTGCGCGCGCCGTCTGTGCTGCGAACCCCGTGCTCTTCCGCTGCGCATCTCCTGACCTACTTGCTATAGCTGGCCCCATGCCCCGTGACCCTCCGCGTCCCCTCCCCTCCCTCGCTTTTCCGCCATCCCGCACTCCAGGCGTCCCGGCTAGGCGTGCTCTTCTTATCGGCCGCTGCGGCAGCAGCGGCGGGAACTAGCATGCCCGCGCAGGCCGTGCAGGCGGAAGCAGTGCGGTCGGAAGCCGTTCATGCGGAAACAGCTTGGGCGGAGGCAGTGCAGGCGGAGGCAGCAGCGACAGCAGTGACGGCACCCGAGGCAGAAGGCCAGAGCGCAGAAGTGGTGTGGCAGCTGCCGCCTGTAGCGGTGGTTGCTGCTACAGCTGTGCCGGCTGTCGGTCCAGGTGGCGGCAGTCGTTCTCCACGTAAGCAGACAGCTCAGCAGCACGTGGCCGCGCTGGAGGGGCGCATGCAGCGGATGATGGCGTGGGTGCGCCAGGGCAGGCGGGGGCGGGCGGAAGAAACGGGGGAAGCGGGGCGCGAGGGGCGCGAGGGGCAATCAGCGGCTGCGCAGCAGGCCGAGGTGAGGGCAGCATCAGAAATTGCTGTCGCTTCGCTCTGCTTTTCGCGCTTTCCTCCTTCATTTGCCACCCACCCTAGCTTAACCATCCGGTCCACTTGGTGTCACCAACCGTCCCTCTCTGGATGTCCCCCCCCCCCTCCTCTTCCCTTTTCCCTTCCCCTTCCCCTACCATGCAGCTGCGGCGGCGAGTGGCGGGGGTGGTGGAGGGGCGCAGGGCCACTAGGCGGAAGCAGCGTGGGGGAGGGGGGGGTGGGGATGGCTCAGGGGGGCGAGGGGCAGTGGGCTTGGAGGAGGAGGGCAGAGGAGTGGGAGGAGCGCGGTTGGGAGAGATGGGAGGAGAGGGAGTGCGGTTGAGCGACGGTCCGGAGTGGCTGAAGGGAGTGGCAGAGCAGTACGGCATGGCGCTGCCGGCAGCTGTGGGGGCCACCAGGGGTGGGGCAGCCACGGCCGCAGCTGCCGATCCGGCAGCACCAGCGGCGGCGGCGGTGGTGGCGGGGAGGGTGCTGGCGGCGCTGAGGCAGGCGGAGCAGTCCACTCGCGCTGCACCAGCACACCCCGCCACAGCACCCGCCTCCACGCCCGCGCCCACCGCAGCAGCCCCTGAGAGCAGGGCGCAGGCGCTGCAGGCGGCGCTGTCACCCCTGGAGCAGAAGCTGGTGCGTTGGGGGGCAAAGAGGAGAGATGAAGCGAGTTGCTGACGTGCGCCTTGCTGCAACATGCAACATGCACCCCTCTCCTCCATGTGTCTCATGCATCTCGCCCATCGCCTGTTGCCCCTCTCATATGTCGTGCCTCTGTCCCTCCCCTTCACGTGTGTGTCTATTTGTGTGGGAGCACAGGAGGAGGCGGAGGCGTCTTGGCAGCGGTACGAGGCGGCGGTGCAGTGGACGGAGGGGCGCCTCTCAGCGCTCGCCACGCTCGCCCTCACCACCGCCACCCACCCGCCCTCATCCTCCCTCGCCGCATCCCACACCCACCTGCTCTCCTCCCTCGCCTTCGCCCAGAAGCGAGCAGCTGAGGTGCGCACAGGAAGGGGATGGGATGGTGATGATGGCGTGATGAGGATGGCTGGATTGTAATGGCATGGTGGGTGCAGAGTGAGGGTAATGCATGCATGCAGTGAGTGTCATGCATGAGCCTATCATGGCATATGGGGAATACAGAGTGGCATGTGCTGACCCGGTGATGGCTGAAGCTCGTCTCCTCCGCCATTCCACCCTGCGTGCGTGCAGGAGGAGCAGCGGGTCACCCAGCTGCGCCAGCAGCTCAGCAACAGCCGCATGCTCTCACAACCCTCCTCTTCCTCTTCCGCATCCTCACCCTCTTCGCCCCTCTCCACCGCACTGCCTCCTTTCCAATCTACCATAGCGCAACCTGCGCCCCCATCTCTCCTGGCCACCCTGTCATCAACACCAGCGCTCCCCCCCTCCTCGTCGCTCGCGCCCCAACGACCGGTGCCGCGCTCGCTGTCGCAGCCGTCACGGGCGCTCTCCCACGCCTCATGGTGCCCCACCGAGGCTGCTCACACCACTCAGCCCTTGGCCCACGACAGCACGAGCCTCGCCAGCACGCATGCTGCCCTGAGCATTCTCCAGCAGGTGCGAGCGTTGCACTCCCTCACGCATCAGATGCCTCTGCCCATCGCATTGTACCTGCCCATACCTCACAGCACCGTGCTCATGCCATGCTCTCTGCTCATTTCCTCCCTTTCCTTCCCCAGGCGCCAGTGCTGGTGGAGGGAGCAGGTGGGGGCGAGTGGGCGAGGGAGTTTGTGGCGGAGTCGGTGGCCAGGGAGCTCAGCAAGCGCCGCACCGCCCATGGCCATGCCACGTGATGTGGCAAGGGAGGCTACATTACTGGTACTGTTACCCTCAACAGATGCTGTACCATAGTGAACTGCCTTACACAGCAGCATTTGGCTGGGCATATGTGTGTACAGGACTTGGATGACTCGTGAAACGCAAATACATGGCAGAACTTGGTTTGGTACTTCATGTTATGTTACCGTATGACCCATAAATAGTGCACATGTGGGGATATGTGCTGAGAGAGTGTAGCTGATATGTATCGTCTACACCAAAGGCCAGACTCTGGAAGTTTCTGAGCTGTCAGATAGTTTCTGGAGCCCTCATAATTTTGCTAGTTTATAATACAAACAATCTTATCTTGGAAACATGCATACAATGATAGTACGGGTGGCTGAACAAGACTGTATCGATCCCTTTTGTCGGAGAGTGTTGTTTCGAAGCCAGTGGACCTGCCAACACACGCGATGGGCTGCTTTGTGGGCCAATGTTGGTGCTCGCGCCTTTGGCGAATGGCGGGTTTGCGTTGCGCACAAATGCTGCTGCGGTCAGGAAGAATCTTCCAATGGAACGCTGGCTTGCTGCCCTATCAGAACTCTTGGAGCCACCAAAGCCGAAATGTTGTGGCTTGGAGTGAAAGTCTTACTTACGTGCTGCCCTGATTGGTGGGGTTGGAGACGAAAATAGTACGGTAAATAGGATGGCAGCACGAGTGTACTCGAAAGGGCAACTGCATGTATCCTGGATGGCGGGTTTTGCCGTTTCCTAGGCCCTACAATTACTTAGAGAAAATCCCCTCCATTTCCTACTCGAAACCCCATGCGTGCTGAATAGCAAATAGATGGAACATGAGCCTGTTGAAGTTTTTGAACTCCAAGGAGCACTTGACTGGATTCAAACAAACTCATTTCAAGATACAGAGGCGAGAACACCCTCCTGGAAAATAGGGTACGGCGCACCCAAAGCGTCCACATGGACAATTCCAGCTCAAGCTGTTCTGGGCTGCCTGGTTCAACTTTACGTACGTTTTCACATTCCGCATTTCCATCCAGTCATGGCTCCAGCCTCATCATAGCTCCACAGTGGTCCTCGACTGGCATAACAGCATCAGTGTTTTGCAGGAACACTGTGACCCGAGTAGCGACCAGAGTGGCGTCCATGTTCACGACGCCTGTGTGGTTCACAGACGACATCAGCTGGCGCTGCCACCCGCTCCCACTGCACCGCAAGCACGACGCCACCTAGCACGACGATGGTGCCATCCCCTCTCGACCACCATCACGAACGCTTCGTCACATTTTTTCGCGCAGCGCGATCGGTAGGATAGGTACGATTAGGCCGTCCATTCCTTCCGTGTGCGTCTCATTTCTGGGAGGCCCGCGCGTCCTCGTGTTTACTGGACTCCGCTCTTCCTCTCCCTCGTTCCTCCAAAGCCCCCATCAAGCCTGAACCTCGTCGTAGCGTGCGGTGCGAGGCGGTGGGCCTGAGCGGCGCCGCCAGGTGTATGCGCGCGGCGTTAGGCGCGCGAGCCCGCCAGTAGAGCGCGCTCATGGATCCCGCCGCCCCCTCCCCGAGCGGCGACCGCCCAGCGACAGGTGCGGCGGGGGAGGCGGAGAGGCGGCAGCGGCAGCGCGTGAAGCGGGAGGTGTGCGACGAGGTGATCCGCAAGCTGCGCGAGGCTCGCCACCCGAGCGCGCAGGCCAGCGGCTTCGACGCCGACCTCCTCGCGCACTTCGACCGCCTCCCCACCAGGCGAGTCGCGTCATTCCCACTCGTTCCGGGTCTGACGCGTCGCCGCGTTTTGCGGCACTTCCCACACACACTATTCCGTCGCCCGAATCCCTGCCATGCGACTGGAGGGAGTTGTCGCACTGTCGCTTTGCCTGACTCGTTGTGTGCCTGCCCGTGTGCGGTTGTCCGCTGCATGGCATGAATGTCATACCATGGCATACCAATGTTACCATTGCTCGGCGCGCTTGGCGGCGGCAGGTATGCGTTGGACGTGAACACGGAGCGCGCGGAGGACGTGCTGACGCACAAGCGGCTGCTGGAGGAGGCGGCGCGGCTGCACGGGCTGCCCGTCTTCTTCGTCCGCGCCGTCCGGGTACGCGCGCGCCCCCGCTGCCCCCCGCCCGCCTCCCCCCTACTCGCTTCTGCTTTCATCCCTCATTGCGCTCCCCCCGCCTACCCCAACTCCCGCCTGTCGTAAGGCCTGCCTAGCGCAGTGCAATGCGCGCCGGCGCAAGCGCGCCGTTGAGGCGGTCATGTGCAGCTCCCCATGCGTGCGCGTGTGCGTCCCCCTTACGTGCGTGGCGCGCTTCCCCGCAGATGGCGGCAGCGGGGGAGGCGGGGCAGCACGCGAGCATGGAGACGGACGACCACCATCCCGCCCTGCCGCCCCACGGGTAACCGTCCCCCGACAACCCTTCGTGCCCTTCCTCCCCCTTCTCTCCTTGCTCCCCTCCTTCCCTCCCCTTCACGCCACACCTCCTCGTCCCTGCCTTTTGCCGTTCGCCCTTTCTCTCCCTCCAACTTTCGGTTCCGCCCCCTCTCTCTCCCCCTTCCCCTGTCCCCCCTCCCTCTCCCCCCTCCCTCTCGCCCCCCTCCACCCTCCCCCCCCCCCTCCCTCCCTCTCTTCCCCCGCGGAGCAGCGCGCTAGCGCCGCCAGCGTTTGGGTCGTCGCCGAATCTGGAGGAGCCGGTGGCGGGCGGCGGGCACGGCGGTGCCATGGGCGACCACCGCCACGCCGACCTCAGGTGCTCGGGCTGCCACACGTGCCGTGGGGCGTGGCGTGTGGGGCGTGGGGGTGGGGCGTGGTGGCGATGAGACGAGATGTAGTGGTGGGGGAGAGGGCGGTGAGGCTGTGGCGGGCGTGGCGGGAAGAGAGGCGTGTGCTGCAGGTGGGGGTGGGGGCGGGTGAATGAAAGAATGCCACCTGCCTGCCATGCATCCGTCTGCCTCACTTCGTCTCCCTCCCCCCTCTCCCCCGTGCCTCATGCCTCTCCTCTCTCCTTTCCCCCATGCGCCCTGCCCTCCCCCTCCGCCATGGCAGTGCGCCGTACTACAACGTGCCCATGCACGAAGTCACCTTCTCCACCTTCGACCGCCCCAAGCTGCTCAGCCAGGTGGGTGATAAGTGCTCAGTCAGGTGGATGATAAGTGCTCAGCCAGGTGGGTGATAAGCGCTCAGTCAGGTGGGTGATAAGTGCTCAGCCAGGTGGGTGATAATTGCTCAGCCAGGTGGGTGATAAGTGCTCAGCCAGGTGGGTGATAAGTGCTCAGCCAGGTGGTTGACAAGCGCTTAACCGAGAATTCACAGCTCAGCACAGCATCAAATCCCCTTCCTTGGAACCCCTTTTCCCCTTCAACTTTTTCATCACTCCCCCCGCCCCTCCGCCCACCTGCCCTCTCCTCCCCCCCGTGGCAGCTGTCAGCGGTGTTGGCGGACGCGGGGTTGAACATAAGGGAGGCACATGTGTTCTCCACGTCCGACGGGCTCTCCCTCGACGTCTTCGTCGTCGACGGCTGGCCCACCGAGGTCCGCCGTCGCAATCACCCCCCCCCTCCTCCACCACTGCCTCTTTTGAGGCGCTTCAAAAGTAGACCAACCCCCCCCTCCTCCACCACTGCCACTCTCTGTGCTCGCACCCCCCACTGCCACTCTCTGTGCTCGCACCCTCCACTGCCTCTCTCCATACGGTCGTGCCATGGCCATTGTCCTCCGCTCCCAACCCCTCCCATCTCGTCTGTGCCGCGTGACGTGCTGCCTGCTGTGCCCCTCTGCGCCCCCGTGTGCCCCCATGTGTGGGTTCGCGCCCCTGCATGTGCCCCCATGTGCGCGGCCATCAGGACGTGGTGGATCTGCATGCAGCCTTGGTGCGCGTGCTGCAGGTCAGCCCCACTCCCGCCCGCCCCTGCTCCACTCTTGCCCTTACTAACCCCATGCACCCCCTGCATCCCCTGCACCTCACTACACTGCACTGCACCGCACTGCACGGATGTCATGTTGATGCACACACTATCTTCTTTGCCCATCCCTGGCGTGCTGCATTCACACCATTCTCATGCTCTCCCGCTATCCGCCACCCGCCCTCACGCATTCACACACCCTCTCACTCACGCCCCATCACCTGGCAGATGGGGGCGGGCGCAGCGCTCTCCATGCAGCCAGAGGCGTCCGGCCAGTCAATGCAGTCAATGCAGTCAGGGCGAGGCCCCGCGGGGTCGGAGTCAGCGGGGATGGGGGGCCTGGGGGCAGGCGGGCAGGGGGCGGGGTCGTTGGTGTCGGGGGCGGAGTCACGCGTGCCCATCCCCACGGACGGGCGGGACGACTGGGAGATCGACAGCCAGCAGCTCAAGCTGCACCACAAGATCGCCTCCGGCTCCTTTGGTGACCTGTGCGTTATGCTCCACCCTTGAGATGCAGGGCACAGGGGGTTGGGGGTGCTGCAGGCAGCCCACCCAATTGGCTTCAACTCAAGCTGCCCTCTCCTGCTCACTTTGTGCGCTTGTCACTGCGTGCAACATGGCTTTGCATTGCACTGCATGGCATGGCGTGGCATGGCATGGCGCGGGTGGCATGGCATGGCATGGCACCAGGTACCGGGGCACGTACTGCGGGCAGGACGTGGCGATCAAGATCTTAAAGCCCGAGCGCCTCAACGACTCGCTGCAGCAGGAGTTCGCCCAGGAGGTGTACATCATGAGGTGAGGTGTACATCATGAGGTGAGGTGTACATCATGAGGTGAGGTGTGCATCATGAGGTGAGGTGTGCATCATGAGGTCATGCTGTGTGATGCCAGTGCGATGTAATTCCATTAGGCATGATCATCCTGCCCCGGCGGGTCGGGTCGACCCGACCCGACCCCGGTTTTGACCCGGGTCGGGTCAGGCATTTTGAAGCGCTGGCCCGGCCGGGTCGGGTCGGGTTTATCCGGTCGGGTCGGGTCGACCCGACACCCGAAACCGGGTCGGGTCGGGTCGGGTCGGGTCAGATTTAGACCCGAAGTCGTACCCGACCCGGTTTCGGGTACCGCGCCCTAAGTCGGGTCGAGTATTTGGCCCGACCCGACTTTTCCTCCCTCGACAATTTGCACTAAAGCAGATCGCGAAGTCAATGTCTAGGGTTTGTTTGCTCCCTCGACATTGACTTCGATCTGCAATACCTAGGCAGCTAGCAAGCAATCGTTCTCAAGCTCTACTACTCTCTAAACCCGCGCCCATGTTAAGGAAAACTATCACTAGTGTTTCCATGTTGGCGTAAGGGTCTTTTTAACCTAGCGCGACCAGGCAGAGATATCCGATTCTATAGAAATAGTTATTCTTAGCTCTCACAAGCGACTAAACTCTGGTCCCGCGTTCTAATCGCCCCCTGCGCGCCTACCAGGCCCGCATCGATAGTGACGCGACCCCCCATAGTCAAGTTACAAAATGGAGGACGTTCATATACACAAATATTCAATCAGTGCAACACCGCACAGTAGTAAGGAGAACCTCTTACCCTGCATATGGGGTCCTGGCCCGACCCGACCCGACCCGGGGGCGGGTCACGCCTGACCCGGCACCCGATACCCGGGTCGGGCCAGGATTTTTTGAAGTTTCGACCCGACCCGACCCGACCCGACCCGGAACCCGGCTGGCCCGCCCAAGTCGGGTCGGGTCGGGTCGGGCCTAATGATCATGCCTGAATTCCATGTGACCCCCTCGTCCCTGTCGTCATGTATGACTGTCTGCCTGACCCGCTTCACTACCATCACTCCCGGCACAATGTTCAACGTCTCCCGGCACAATGTTCAACGTCTCCCGGCACAATGTTCATCGTCTCCCGGCACAATGTTCAACGTCTCCCGGCACAATGTTCATCGTCTCCCGGCACAATGTTCAACGTCTCCCGGCACAATGTTCATCGTCTCCCGGCACAATGTTCATCGTCTCCCGGCACAATGTTCATCGTCTCCCGGCACAATGTTCATCGTCTCCCGGCACAATGTTCAACGTCTCCCGGCACAATGTTCATCGTCTCCCGGCACAATGTTCAACGTCTCCCGGCACAATGTTCATCGTCTCCCGGCACAATGTTCATCGTCTCCCGGCACAATGTTCATCGTCTCCCGGCACAATGTTCATCGTCTCCCGGCACAATGTTCATCGTCTCCATTCACGTCTCCCGGCACAATGTTCATCGTCTCCCGGCACAATGTTCATCGTCTCCCGGCACAATGTTCATCGTCTCCCGGCACAATGTTCATCGTCTCCCGGCACAATGTTCATCGTCTCCCGGCACAATGTTCATCGTCTCCCGGCACAATGTTCATCGTCTCCCGGCACAATGTTCATCGTCTCCCGGCACAATGTTCATCGTCTCCCGGCACAATGTTCATCGTCTCCCGGCACAATGTTCATCGTCTCCCGGCACAATGTTCATCGTCTCCCGGCACAATGTTCATCGTCTCCCGGCACAATGTTCATCGTCTCCCGGCACAATGTTCATCGTCTCCCGGCACAATGTTCATCGTCTCCCGGCACAATGTTCATCGTCTCCCGGCACAATGTTCATCGTCTCCCGGCACAATGTTCATCGTCTCCCGGCACAATGTTCAACGTCTCTGCACAACCCTCCGCCTCAACCCGTGGCCTCTACAGGAAGGTTCGCCATAAGAATGTGGTGCAATTTATTGGAGCCTGCACCAAGCCGCCTAACCTCTCTATTGTCACAGGTACGCACGCCAACCCTTGCTATAGTCACATGTACGCATCCCCCCTAGCTATAGTCACAGGGTAGGAACGGTGTGCCAAAATCAGATGTTTCGTTATTTTGAAGCATGAATAATAATAGAGAAATATGTATATGTGACATTGCAACCTAGCCGCCAGTCTGTGCAGTTTCGTGCCATGCTGCGATTCCTCCCCCCCCCATTCTTTCCCACCACACCTGCCTTAACAAACCTCTCTCTCCTAACTGCCCCTTTCTCTCCCCCCACCCTGTGTGTGTGTGTGTGTGTGTGTGTGTGTGTGTGTGTGTGTTTTCATGCGTGCGTGCGTGCGTGCGTGCGCACGTGTGTGCGTGTGTGAGTGTGCGTGTGACTAACCAGAGTTCATGGTGGGCGGCAGTGTGTACGACTACATTCACAAGCAGCGCGGCAGCATGCGGCTGCCCATGGTGGTGCGCGTGGCCATGGACGTGGCCAAGGGGATGGACTTTCTGCACAAGAACAACATCATCCACCGCGACCTCAAGGCCGCCAACCTCCTCATGGACGAGAATGAGGTGCGCAAACTACCTGTGATGTCTGCTGTTACTTCCCAACATAAGGTGAAGTAGCACATATATGGTAAGAACAGCATCATCCACCGCGACCTCAAGGCCGCCAACCTCCTCATGGACGAGAACGAGGCATTCCATCCCTCTGCCTCGCATGCGCTGTGTTCAGTGTATTATGGGCGGGTGTATTATGTGGGGTGCCATGGGTATGGATGGCAGGAGGAGAGGCGCAGTTCTCAGTGCCGCTGCTACGCGTGCTGGCTGCTCCCATCCTCCATACCACCGCTCGTTCCCCACCCCATGCCCTAAAGCCTTGCCTATCCTTCCTCCTTTCCCCCTTTTCACCCCCTGGGCGCGAGTGCAGGTGGTGAAGGTGGCGGACTTTGGAGTGGCGCGGGTGAAGGCGGGCAGCGGCATCATGACGGCGGAGACCGGCACGTACCGCTGGATGGCGCCCGAGGTGAGTCCGGCACGCACCGCTGGATGGCGCCCGAGGTGAGTCCGGCACGTACCGCTGGATGGCGCCCGAGGTGAGTTCGGCACGTACCGCTGGATGGCGCCCGAGGTGAGTCCGGCACGTACCGCTGGATGGCGCCCGAGGTGAGTCCGGCACGTACCGCTGGATGGCGCCCGAGGTGAGTCCGGCACGTACCGCTGGATGGCGCCCGAGGTGAGTCCGGCACGTACCGCTGGATGGCGCCCGAGGTGAGTCCGGCACGTACCACTGGAGACAGGTGGGGGTGCTGACGGTTCATGCAAACATAAACACAAGCAGTGCGCTTACACTCAGTACGGAAGATAGATGCGCTAACGCATTACTCTTAGTACAGAGAATCATCTTCAGTAATGTACATACAATTTATACAAAACATAAGCTTAAGATACGTCTCAATCGCTTAATCTTGGTGCACGGTGAATCTTTCTGAAGTGTCATGTGCCTTCCCTTAGATCAATTCACATGTCCCATGCCCCTTGCACCATGCACGATGCACCATGGTGGTGGCATGGCAGGTGATAGAGCACCGCGCGTACGACCACAAGGCGGATGTCTTCAGCTTTGGCATCACGCTGTGGGAGCTGCTCACCGGCAAGGTGTGCTGCGCTGCGCTGGGGTTGGTGCATGTGGGCCACGTGGGTGGGGTTGGTGCATGTGGGCCACGTGGGTGGGGTTGGTGCATGTGGGCCACGTGGGTGGGGTTGGTGCATGTGGGCCACGTGGGTGGGGTTGGTGCATGTGGGCCACGTGGGTGGGGTTGGTGCATGTGGGCCACGTGGGTGGGGTTGGTGCATGTGGGCCACGTGGGTGGGGTTGGTGCATGTGGGCCACGTGGGTGGGGTTGGTGCATGTGGGCCACGTGGGTGGGGTTGGTGCATGTGGGCCACGTGGGTGGGGTTGGTGCATGTGGGCCACGTGGGTGGGGTTGGTGCATGTGGGCCACGTGGGTGGGGTTGGTGCATGTGGGCCACGTGGGTGGGGTTGGTGCATGTGGCCACGTGGGTGGGGTTGGTGCATGTGGGCCACGTGGGTGGGGTTGGTGCATGTGGCCACGTGGGTGGGGTTGGTGCATGTGGGCCACGTGGGTGGGGTTGGTGCATGTGGGCCACGTGGGTGGGGTTGGTGCATGTGGGCCACGTGGGTGGGGTTGGTGCATGTGGGCCACGTGGGTGGGGTTGGTGCATGTGGGCCACGTGGGTGGGGTTGGTGCATCTGGCCACGTGGGTGGGGTTGGTGCATGTGGGCCACGTGGGTGGGGTTGGTGCATGTGGGGTGGGCCACGTGGGTGGGGTTGGTGCATGTGGGCCACGTGGGTGGGGTTGGTGCATGTGGGCCACGTGGGTGGGGTTGGTGCATGTGGGCCACGTGGGTGGGGTTGGTGCATGTGGGCCACGTGGGTGGGGTTGGTGCATGTGGGCCACGTGGGTGGGGTTGGTGCATGTGGGCCACGTGGGTGGGGTTGGTGCATGTGGGCCACGTGGGTGGGGTTGGTGCATGTGGGCCACGTGGGTGGGGTTGGTGCATGTGGGCCACGTGGGTGGGGTTGGTGCATGTGGGCCACGTGGGTGGGGTTGGTGCATGTGGGCCACGTGGGTGGGGTTGGTGCATGTGGGCCACGTGGGTGGGGTTGGTGCATGTGGGCCACGTGGGTGGGGTTGGTGCATGCTGGCCACGTGGGTGGGGTTGGTGCATGTGGGCCACGTGGGTGGGGTTGGTGCATGTGGGCCACGTGGGTGGGGTTGGTGCATGTGGGCCACGTGGGTGGGGCTGGTGCATGTGGGCCACGTGGGTGGGGTTGGTGCATGTGGGCCACGTGGGTGGGGTTGGTGCATGTGGGCCACGTGGGTGGGGTTGGTGCATGTGGGCCACGTGGGTGGGGTTGGTGCATGTGGGCCACGTGGGTGGGGTTGGTGCATGTGGGCCACGTGGGTGGGGTTGGTGCATGTGGGCCACGTGGGTGGGGTTGGTGCATGTGGGCCACGTGGGTGGGGTCTGGGGGAGATGGGGCAGGTGTGATGGGGAATGGGCGTGAGGTGGGCTGCTCGTCTCACCTTGCTTGCTGGCAAGGTGGGGAGGGGTGGGGGGATGAGGGCGAGATAGGGGTCTTTGGAGGGCAAGTGGGCTTGCAAGCAAAGGTCGGCGTGCAGGCAGGCACATGTGTAGGAATCAGCTCCCCAGTCTCATACTTCCCCTTCTTCCCTCACTCTCCGTGCGTGCACGTGTGCATGTGCCTGTTGTTGTGTGTGTGCATGTGTGCGGGCCACATGCCACAGCTGCCCTATGCGGATCTCACACCTCTGCAAGCAGCTGTCAGTGTGGTGCAAAAGGTGAGCAGTGGTGTGAAGCGGTTGTGAGGGTTTGCTGTGAGAATAATTGTGAGAACCGGGTGTGGGAGTGGCTGTGACCTGGTCATAAGGTTGCACACTCTGCACCAACCCACACTCTCTCCACAGCCGCACCAACTCACACTCTGCACTGCTGCTCGTGCTCTCGCCCCTCCACCCCCCTGTCCCCCGTCCGCCCACGGCAGGGGCTGCGGCCGCCCATCCCCAAGGGAACACACCCGCGGGTGGCAGAGCTGATGGTGCGGTGCTGGCACACCAACCCCGCTGAGCGCCCCGAGTTCAGCATGGTGCTGCGCCTGCTGGCTGACATGGCACACGAGGTGAGAGGGGGGGGCATTGCCGAGTTTGAGCTCTATTCCTGCAAGGGCCGTTGCAGTGTGACAGGTCTGCTGAAATCCTGAATGGTCAAGCTATGTAGCCCCAGGGCCACATGTAAGATCATCTACTCTGTAGAGACACCTGAAACGTTTTCATGTCTGGGATTACACAAGTGATGGGTTTCCTTTGAAAACATGTGAATCGTGACTAGAAAGAACCAGGCGAAGATCTCCAGCAAAGCATGTGCCGATGGTGACTCGACGATGCTGACTCATGCATGATGCATGTGGTGCGTGGGAAGGGAGGGGCATGGCACATGAGGAGGGGCATGGCACATGAGGAGGGGCATGGCACATGAGGAGGGGCATGGCACATGAGAAGGGGCATCGGGGCATCGGGTCATGCTGCGTGTGCTCCGCGTGAATCACATGTGCCAACTGATTCATCATTTGCCTCATCCTCAACTATATAAGTTTCCCCGGTGCTTCCCTGGCCACTGTGTGCCCTGTGCCTGTGTGGTGCCCGAGTCGCAGGTGGAGGAGGAGGGCGAGGGCGAGCAGAGGCGCAGGGAGAGGCGAGGAGGCTTCTTCTCCTCGCTCAAGCGCACCGGGGGCAAGTGAGGGGAGCAGGGGGCAAGTGAGCGGAGCAGGGGGCAAGTGAGAGGAGCAGGGGGCAAGTGAGGGGGGGGGGGGGTGAAGGGGTTGTGAGCAGTGGGGTGTTTGGGCTTGGCTTGACATGCCTGCTCGCATGCACGTGTGCATGATGTGCCGTGCGCCTGCTGCATTGTCCACAGCAGCGCTACGAATCGGCACCACTAGGGGGAGTGCAGGGGGCAGGGGGCATGGGTCAGGGGGGCAGGGGACAGGTGGCAGGGGTCAGAGGGGCAGGGGGAAGGGGGCAAGGGTCAGAGGCAGTCCTGCCATCCTCCAGTGGCACTGGACAGGGACGGAGACACATTGTTTTGGGAGCACAGCAGCTCAAGAGAATGATTGTTGGGTCAATTTTGAATAGTTGTCCATAACAATACTGGAGGGGTGAAGGATGAGGGAGGGTAGGGGTCGTGGGAGGGGGAAGGCGAGCGTGAAGCATCAAGTGGTATGGTGGTGGTGGTGGTGGTGGTGGTGGTGATAGTACCTGCAAATTTTGACAGTCCATTGTGACTGGGTCCCATCTCATGCTGGTGGCTGTGCCATCACATGGAGGGTGAATGCCATGTGTGAGGGTTCCCCGCTGCTCAACAGTTCCCTCACTCTTGAGGTCGAGAGGTCCCAACCTTGCACTACTCCCATGGCAAATGGTTCGTGCCAGAAATACTGCCATATGGCATCCAATTTTGCAGTTTAGTGCTCAAATGTGTACATCAAATGTTTATCTGATATTTTGTTTTTGTGCTTTATGTCACGTGATGCCACAATAAAGTAATCATTTTCACAGTGCCCACTATCATTGTACCATTATCACCCAGATATAAGACAGCGTTGAATAGTAGACAGGGGTTGTCTATTATACGGGTGTCTCTTATAAACGGGGTAGCCTCATTATAAGACACCTATTTGTGTGTAGGGGCAAATGACAAATGTATGAGGAAGTATCTTCTAAACGGATTTTTGTCCATTTATAAGACTGATTTTTTAATGTATGAGATAAGACATACATGTCTTATATCCGGGCGATGACGGTATGGTGCCGTATATTTCTTTTACGTATGTTTTTGTTGGGCAACTTTCACATACTGTACATTGTCCTATTACAATGTGTCAGAATGCTATATAGCTTATACATTTTGTGTAGGCTATAGTGGGGTATCCCATAAGGGGTACAATCCAATTAGGGTTAGTACATGTACTCACTTCTTTCATAGTTCATTTCATTCTCGTTCTAATTTCCTCATGATATCGAGCAGGTTCCCCCGTGGGAACTTTGCCTAGGGCCCACCATATCGAGTTTTTTTTTTTTCCTGCCCGAAGCGCGCTCAGCCCGAGTCGCGCTCCGGGCTCTCACTTCGTCGAGCCGCCCTAGCGGCCCCAACCCCCTAGCGGCCCCATCACCCTTGCGATCCCGCCGCCCGACCTGCGGCCCACCCGCCGCCCGACCTGCGGCCCACCTGCCGCCCTACCTGCGGCCCGCCCGCCGCCCTACCTGCGGCCCACCCGCCGCCCTACATGCGGCCCACCCGCCGCCCTGACCTGCGGCCCTACCGCCGCCCGACCTGCGGCCCACCCGCCGCCCGACCTGCGGCCCACCCGCCGCCCGACCTGCGGCCCACCCGCCGCCCGACCTGCGGCCCACCCGCCGCCCTACCTGCGGCCCACCCGCCGCCCAACCTGCGGCCCTACCGCCGCCCTACCTGCGGCCCACCCGCCGCCCGACCTGCGGCCCACCTGCCGCCCTACCTGCGGCCCACCCGCCGCCCTATCTACGGCCCGCCCGCCGCCCTACCTGCGGCCACACCGCCGCCCTACCTGCGGCCCAACCGCCGCCCTACCTGCGGCCCACCCGCCGCCCTATCTGCGACCCGCCCGCCGCCCTACCCGCGGCCCACCCGCTGCCCTTTCCTACGACCGCCGCGCCGCCCTGAACAAGCGCCGCCGAGCCGCCCAGATGCACAACCACCGAGCCGCCCGGCCGCCGAGTCGCCCAACCGCCGAGCCGCCGAGCCGCCGAGCCGCCCAGCAGCCGAGCCGCCCGGCAGCTGGCCCACCGAGCCGCCCAGCAGCCGAGCCGCCCAGCAGCCGAGCCGCCCAGCAGCCGAGCCGCCGAGCCGCCCAGCAGCCGAGTCGCTGAGCCGCTGAGCTGCCCTACTTCCGGACCGCCCGAGCTGCCCCGTCTGGTGAGCACAGTGCCTTTTTCCTGCACTGCCCTCACCCTACTGTTTGCACTACTAGTCGTCTGTCGTCATGGCTTCCCCTAGTGTCCTAGCTTTTGACGCTAAGGGTCGGGCCATTGACTTTGAGGTCTGGGTAGACGACCTGCAACTGTTCTTACAGTGCGATAGGGCAGACGGCCTCTCTCTCTTTGACCTTACCTCTGGCGCTTCCCCTGCCCCTGCTGCAGATGCTGACGCCACTGTTCGCTCCCAGTGGGCCACGCGCGACGCTGCTGCACGTCTTGTTGTGCATCGCCACCTTCCTACCTCCGAGCGTGCGCACTTTAGTCAGTACAAGAGTGCTCAGACCTTGTACGACGCTATAGTCGCGCGCTACTCCTCCCCTGCCACTGCTGCACTGAGCCGCCTCATGCTACCGTACCTCTTCCCTGACCTTGCTGCCTTTCCCACCGTAGCTGACCTCATTACGCACCTCCGCACTAGTGACACTCGCTATCGCGCTGCACTTCCTGCTGACTTCTGCGCCACGAACCCCCCCCCCCCATGTACATCACTCTGTACTTCCTAGTCACTCGCCTTCCTGACTCCCTTCGAGTAGTCAGGGACCACTTTCTCTCAGTCTGTCCCACCACACTCACTGTCGACCTCCTCGAGAAGGCCCTCCTAGCGATAGAGAAGAGCATAGTTGCTCTAGGAGCCTCTCGAGGTGACCCGCGCACCCCCATCTTTGAGGGGTGTTCCCCCTCCCCCCTGCTGCCCTCTGTTGCCTCTGCTGCTGCGGCCGACCTCCTTGGTCTTGAGTCGGTCGGTGCGGCGTCTGCCCCTAGCGGGAGACGCCGCCCTGGCAAGGGCAAGGGGGGCAAGGGAGCTGGAGGAGCGGGCGGTGGAGGTGGAGGTGGAGGCGGTGGGGGGAGTGGGGTGGCGGTGGGAGTGGAGGTGGGGGTGGTGGGGTCGGTGGCGGCAGTGGAGGCGGAGGCGGAGGCGGCGGCGGCGGTGGCGGTGGGAGCGGAGGTGGCGGAGGAGGCGGCGGTGGAGGCGGCGGCGGAGGCGGCGACAGTAGCGGAGGCGGCGGAGGCGGCGGAGGCGGTGGGGGTGGCGGTGGAGCTGGTCGCGGGTCCTCGCAGAGGAGTGGCTCCGGCGGTAACTCGCGCCAGCAGCAGCAGCGCGGTCGTGATACCCTGTCCCCTCAGCAGCTCCGTGAGTGGTACACTGCACGCCAGCGGGGTGGGGGTTTTGGTCCGTGCACCTACGTCCTGCGCACCGGCGACCGTGCGGATGAGCAGTGTGGGGGTGTGCACCCCACCCAGCGCTGCTTTGGCCGCCTGACGGACGCGTGGCATCACCAGTTCCCGGAGGCCTCAGAGATTCCTCGCTGGGGCGAGCTGTCTAGGGCGGGTGTTGCCATCTTTGATCTTGACTTTGATGCTATTCTCTCTGCCATGTATGCTGTGTCTATTAGTGATGAGGGTGACTGTTACCGGTGCTTCCCGCCCGATCCGGGCATTGAGATTGCTGCTCTAGGTACTGGTGCGGCTGCTGCCCTAGGTGCTTGCGACGCTGCTGCTCTAGGTGCAAGTGCGTCTGCGTCCTCAGGTACTGGTGAGTCTGCGCTCTCAGGTACTACGTCGGCTTCGGCCTCCCTCACCTTCACCCTTGAATCTGGGGCTTCTCGCTCCTTCTTTCGGGACCGTACCACACTCACGCCGCTTAGTCGGCCGGTTGCGGTGTCTCTGGCTGACCCCTCTGGGGGTCCTGTCCTGTCTTGCTTCTCCACAGTCCTCCCTTGTCCGGCGGCTCCCTCTGGCACCCTGTCTGGTCTCTACCTCCCTTCATTCTCTAGGAACCTGGTGAGTGGTGCTGACCTACACGATGCGGGAGTACACCAGTTCACTCCTGCGCGTCAGCGGGTGACGCACTGCACAGAGGCTGGCACGGGCCGACACCTAGCTACGTTCACCCGTCAGCCGGGGTCGAGGCTGTACACACTGACCACTGCGTCTCCTCCCGCTACTGAGTCTGGTAGGGTCACTGCGTTGGACCAGGTGTTTGCTGCAATGTCCAGGTCTGGTCCTGAGTCTGTCCCCTGTTCGTGTCGTCTTCTGTCTCACGAGACTCTCCTCTGGCACCACCGCCTTGGTCACCCCTCTCTGCTTCGGCTCAGAGGCATGGCCTCCCGTCTTCTTGTATCTGGTCTCCCCCGGTCCCTCCCTCCCCTTCCTCATGGCCCTGGCCCTACCTGTGTCCCCTGTGTTGAGGGGCGCCAGCATGCTGCCCCTCACTCCTCCCAGTTTCCTCCGACAGAGGCCCCGTTGCAGACGCTTCACATGGACGTGTGGGGCCCAGCCCGCGTCCGTGGACAAGGTCACGAGCGCTACTTCCTGCTGGTTGTTGACGACTACTCGCGTTACACCGCAGTCTTCCCCTTGCGCAGCAAGGGTGATGTCACTGCGGTGCTGATCGACTGGATCCGCGCAGCTCGTCTCCATCTCAGGCAGAGCTTTGGCTCGGACTTTCCTGTTCTGCGTCTGCACTCGGACAGAGGCGGAGAGTTTTCCTCTGACCTTCTGAGAGCCTACTGTCGCGCACGAGGCATCCGTCAAACCTTCACGCTTCCGGACTCCCCGCAGCAAAATGGGATTGCTGAGCGCCGCATTGGCATGGTCATGGACGTCGCTCGTACGTCTATGATGCATGCGGCTGCCCCCCATTTTCTGTGGCCGTTTGCGGTGAGGTACGCGGCGGATCAGATCAACCTCCACCCCAGGGTCTCCAGGCCGGAGACCTCCCCAGCCT